GGCATCAGTATTTTGTAGTTCTCTTCGACAAAATCAACTCGTAGGCGCATAATCTAGTTTTAGAACCACACCAGGGCTTCAACAATGCAGGGTGTTGTGATGCGCGTTGATTCAAACTCGCTAATCCGGACACTCCAGCCTTGGACACAGAGTCCACCTTTTCGCAGCATGTCGCCAGCCGCGTGGATCCTCAACTCCCCCCTCATTGACATGGATATTTATCTTGGATTATTCTCACACATGACTCACACATCCGAGCTATAAATACACACGCAACCTCCACACATGACGTGGTTGAGTTCTGAAGTAAACGGTTGTGTCCACGTCGTCTGCTATCCTTTTCCTCATCGCGGGTATCAGGGAAACGTAATCGGGCCAGGGTTAATTCCGTGTCCCCGGTGTGGTTCAAGACCACATGCTGGGGCCCACAATAAAGGACGTGATATAATTCTAGTTACTTGAAGGCCACTGGTGATTTGAAACGCATGTCTCTGCATTTCTGTCAATTTTAATGACGTGCCTAAACAGGAAAAGTCAACTCGATCCTTTTACTTGATCCGTGAGAGCACTTTTAAGATGGAATACATTAGTCATTCGCACACTGCGATGAATTCGCTAGAAGTTGGAAAACAGAAGTCGGTTAATTCCGTGGCCCCGGCGAGGTTCAAGACCACCTACCGGTTTTGACAGCTTTTTGTGAAACAATATTGGACACTGCGATCGAACTCCAGTGGCACGCTTTTTACAATCGTTTAGTCAACTACTTGACTTTATCTCTGGTGATTCGATTTGGCGGATTTCGGCCTCGTGGTTCTGTAAAGGACGTGCCATTAATCAGTAGCTACTCGCTAAGTGGCATGTCTTCGTGCGTAGTCTAGGCCCGATTCTCACATCTGACGGCAACAAACCCGCTGTACTTGGTTTTTTTTCTCCAAAGACCTAGTGAATTAGAACTGGACAGCAAAAGACACGTGTAACAGCCAAATTTTAGCACTACCACACAACTCCATAGTTACCAGCCAGCCACAACCCGAGAAGACAGAAGGCAGTGTCGAAAGAGAACACGACCGTTTATTCGCGTCAAACCAGTCAAGTCCTGTCGAGTAAAATCGATTAACTTACTTCTGTGTGCGTATCAATACGCGTGAGCTACAGGCGACTGCTAACAAAAAATCAATAACAAAGAGGGTGAGTCATTGATGCAATCGGGCAAGCATACACGCAGCACTCACGCGCGGTGGCTGTCTGTCCAATACAATACATTCACGGAAAAAAAATCGATTGATTTGTGTTCGCTCGCGCTTGCAAACTGTGCTGGTTTGCTGCTCGGCACACACCTGTTTGCTTGGTTTGCATGTCCTTGAACAAGACAAATCGCCACCCAGCGCAATCAAACAAAGGCCAAATACAAACAAGACACAATCCGCTGCAATTTATTGTAAATAACCATGGTGATGTCAATTTCTCAATTGTAACTGTTCAGCAAAACAACGCGACACCACGTCTACAGTGGTCGCTAGGTAGACACCTTTAAAATCGCCGTGGGAAGGCGGGGGGGTGGGTGGGGGTTAAAAGTTCAAAAACATTGCAGCGACGGTATAAATACACGTTCACCGCGGAAAAACACCCAAAAAATACAATGCAGTGGGCTAGTGTGGTCGCCCTGTTCTCGCTTGGTTTTTGGCCCGCGTCTGCGGTTTGGTTCAATTACCCCAGTACAGACATTCTTCATGCGATGGACGTGGTTGTCAGGGCAGAAGCCGACTCCTTCGAATGGTGTTTTTACGCATGCACAAAAGACGGACCTTTCTACGACTGTGGAAATTTCGACGCCAGAACGGTGAGTGCGCGTTTGTTGCTTGTGTGAATCGATTGTGACAGAACACGCTCTGTAGCTTTTGAAATGCCCACTTTAGAGAAACTTGATTCTTGCATAATCTTGTTACTGACTGTAAACCATTCCCAAGCGCTTTAATGCAATCTTGCCTATTTGCTCCGATTACTAGCTGATGTGTTACTGCGGAAATTTTGAAAAACCGAAAAATATCGTCGTTGCGAAGCCAGACCCCGAAATGATTGCTTTCAAATTTGAAAGTGGTAAGTTGTGTTTTACCCACACACAACTGGGCCCTACGTGAGTTGGCATCAGTATTGGTTGTGATAAGTAACAAGGGGTAAAATAATGAAAAAAAAGGTAATTTAAAACCAGAACACAGTTGCTACTGATAGGTAATAGTAGTAAATCTTTTAGGTTTTGATTGCACCTGTTCACAGGTTACGCTAATGTTCATGGAGGTACCCGTGAAATCGTTCACAATTCCCGACCAACAGAAGTGCGGAGCTTCGTGCCTGGAATATCACGTTACGGTCAATGCTGCAATTCACTACTCCGCTACGGTTTGTTCTTGAGTTTATTGAGCGTAAAAAGCTTTAAAAATTGCTTTTAAATATTCGAAATTTTAAAGCTATGAGCCAGGAAGACATTTGTACTAACCTGTTCGAATAACTTTTTCATCTATGTTTAAGAAACAGAGAGAATCGAGTTTCCTTTGCTCATACTGAATCCATATTTTAAAGAATAGGAATAGCTTGAACAAAAAATCAGTTGCCTCAATTGTATTTTTCGCATCGAGAGGCTAATATTGTGCTCTGTTAAAACAAAAGTGAACATTTTTCTCTATCTAGAACCAATGCGACTGCTACGCGATACCTGCAGTACCAGCTTCGATTAAGTTGGCTGAGAGTGACAAAACTGGTGTAACGCTGAGCTCATACTGTTTTCATTGTAGGTTTGACATTATTTCCACTTTTCGCATCAATGTTTGCAAAATCGCATCACTTTTAAATGATTTTCGCAGCATAGAGTTTAACGTTACTTCATCAAACATAGTGTTCCGGTCCCGGGAGCACTTGCTAATAGCTCATTAGCAAAAGGAAAAAAAATATTTTTCATTTCGCCAAACGACTTATTAACCAGAAGGCCTTTATCTCGAAGTAGCATGTCATTTTGTTTTTTTGCAATTTTAGTGGCCAGCGACTGTGGTAAGTTGATCTCGTAAATGCCCACAAATAAAATTGTGGCATAAATTTCATTATTTTGAGCTCATTGAAATTGTTAAATTAAGTAGATATAATAATTGTATTAAGCAAACAAAAAAAAACAATTTCCTTGGTTCCATTGCCCTCCAATTTCTTTGCGTCTTTTTTTGTCTCCACGATGTACACTTCCTTTTCAATTTTCTCCAAATGTACATAATTTTCTTGTACTCTTTTTTATTACATTTTTGCAATGTAATAAATGACTTTTGAGAAGATTGACGCGTTTTGAAAATATTTTGTCCTACATCGTTACAATAAGTTAAACCAGGGTGCATTTCTGGCCAAAAATTAAACTTAGTAACATAGAAGAGGTAATGCAACAAGCAACATTACTTGACCAGATGTATTAGCAGAATAGAAAAAAGTCATTCCATTCAAAGAATTACTACATTGAATAGATTGAAACTATGGGAAATTGCAACAATATTAAACTAATTGAGGTTTGCGCGAATTCTCGCAATTTTTCTGCAATACGTTCAAATGATTTCCGCTAATGACCCACTCACTTGAAGAATTGTGTTCCGAACTTAATGTTAGGAATCAGAAATGCTTGTAGGCGTTAAAGCATACTAGGGGAATTTGCTGATCGACTTCAAAATGAAAGTAAATCCGGCAATCGCGTCACAACCACAACGGAAAATTTAATTTGTGGGATTATCCAGGCAAGGTGGTTTCACATGATTATTTCTTATCTGTAGTAATTTGTTAAGTTTGAAGTTATTCGAAACTATGCTTAATCCATGCCAAAGCGAATTAAATTTAAGTGTCATGTGTACCCATGTGGGTTGAAAGCTCCAAATGTGAGTGTCTGGGCGCCTGCGTGATCTATAATTGTTCAAACGGTCTCCGAAATAGCAAATATAAGATGCAATCAACGAAATATCCACCGAATCAATATTACGGGTGACGATATTTCAGTCGATGTCAATCACCCTCTCATTCACAGATAAGTTATAATTAGGCCTTGATATTTTGCACATCGTGCAGAGGCATTTTTCCCATGAAGATGATGGAAAAAACCTCTATGCACTTGTCCTATTGATTACATAGTTTTGCGCAATAAGTGTTGAATTAAAATTAAAAACAAATTTGTTTGCTAACGTTGTTATTAAATAAATTTTGTACTAACAAACAAGTAATCAAATAGAATGTACTTGAAAAACAAAGCACACATGGATTATGATTGCTTTTTTGTTCAAATAAATATCTTAATTTCGATAAAAATTTCAGATTGGAGTCACCGAAAAATTTATTTAAACGTTATGAAAAAAATTCTGTTAGCAGAGTCATTACCTAAGATGTCCTGAGGGCAAAATGCATTTCACATTTTAAAATTTTGGTTTTTCACTTTTTTAAATCAAAATAGTTGTTTTAATTGGCAAAGGTCACCTATAAACTCACTGAATTTTTAAATCCTGTCATCGTATTCATGGTTGTCAAATTTTTACCACCATTGCCACGTTGTAAAAAGAGGCTTTGTATCCCGAAAAGTTCTTCATGAAACATAACTGTGTTTTGTATAAAAAAATTAAGTGAAATGGATTTAAAGTAAGTAAGTATTGCCCTTCTATTTTTGTTTGCATAGTGAATGGTGGTCAAGGAAATAGGTCTTATATTTTTAAGGCGTAGTTTGTTTGTTACATAAATCAAAAAACCTGTTTGGCTAGCATTACTTAATAGCTATGGTATGTTCGGCTTTCAAACATGGTATCTTCAAATATAACTAAAAATTATCGTTGTGCAATATTTGACTTACAGTGCGTAGTTATAATGTAAGTGTTTTTGTGTTATGTTCATAATCTGGGATGAATTTCAAATGTGCTTTCTTAAACTCAACTGTTCCGTGATTCCATCGCTAATTTGTTTCTTAAGATTTATTTATTGCTCAAAAACTTATTTGATGTTATACGTCATCGGCTTTGAATAATGAAATTGTAGTGAAATTGGTATTCAAAAACAACTATGTACAGCCGCTATAAGATTGATATATTCTCACATTACCAACTTATTTCATAAAACTTACATTGTCTTACTTTTTTACTCCTTCTTGTGGTAAAGGCATAAAACGCAGAATCCGGTGTCTTACATTTTGATTCTTTTCTTTTTGAAGTGTCGGATCTAATTTGTAGACGAATTCTAAAGGTTGAAAGCAAATAGTTTTTTGTCACCTGGCACGTGAAAGGATTTTTCGGTGATACTTGTGTGCAAATCAGTTGCTTGTGAACTAAGCATTTTATTGAATGCATCAGTCAAAAGTCAGTGACATTAAATGCGGTTTTCACAAATTTGGTCACAGAATTCAGGCAGTACGAGTGTTTTTACAAGGCACTTAGTAAAACCAAACCATAAAACCTCAAATATTTGCCTTATGAGTAGGCTAGCCAAGAGAACACAACGCCATCTGGAGCCAAATTTGACTGAGAGACATTATAAGTGTAGTCTATCTTAGTATATAAAAAACAATTTTCATTTCCGTGGTTCGTGACATTGATGATATCGGATATTTCACAATCCCACCTTCAAAATCTAAAGTTAAAGAGGACAATCGCACACAACGAGCCAAAGACCTGCAAAAAGCACAAAAGGCATTAGAACTTAATCAAATTGCTGAACTCTCAACTAAGACCATCTTGGTTTGTTATTTTCCTACTTCAATCTTACAAGTTGTTTGATTGTACAGGTCTATTTGGATAATAGGGAATCTCAAAAGTCTCACACTTTAACTGTGATAAATAACTGTGCTGCATTCGTGTTGCCACGTGCCAGGTCAAACCCACCCTCGCCCAGACGAACCTCTCCCGCCTTCCGAAAGCGCTCTTTCCAGACCGCGAGGACCTCCGAGGGTGATGTCCCGAATGACAGCCAGCGAGCCAACACTCTGCCCCCAGCGCCGCCCGCCGGCGTCAAGTTCGCCATCACCGCAGACTCGGCGCAACTCAGTCGACCGTCCAGCACAGCCGCCACTGTTGTCTACAGCAACACCGCCATCTACTCACCAATCCCGAACGTCGGCACCAGGGGTGTGGACACTGCAGCCATCACTTTTACCGTCGAGGTCAAACTGCTGAGCGACGAACAGCAGCCTCTTCTGGTAGACGTCAGCGTAAGTTGCGGTGGTAACTCCTCTCGTCGCGAAATACCATTTCACGCTGCCTTACTCCTCGCTTGACTACCTGTACCAGGGTCAGATCTTTGCCTTCGATCGGTAAACCAACTAAGTGTGACTTGTGATTGGCCTCTGCCGTTTATTCATTGGTGGTCAAACACGTGAGGCGTCGTAATTGACACTTTAATCTACTCCACGAAAAATTTGAAACAGGGACATTACAAAATGTGTTAACTTGCTTTTAGTAATGCTAATACGTATCAATCAAAACCTGAAGCCTCGTTTCCCTCAGAATTCACGAGTGCCCATGTCTCACCGATCTAAAGGCGGCTTGCTATTGGCTCTCTTGGTCAGCGCGCGCGCATTAGGACCGAGTAAACAGGAAAAACGAATCCAAGTTGGCAGCTGTGTCAGCTCGTGGTTGACGGTGGTAATCGCCTAACGACAAATCATAACCGGAGTCCATAAGAGTGGAGTGGAGGACCAAGGCGGGCAGTTGGTTACTCCAGTGGCGCCTTGCACCCCTGTCAGTGAGACTCACAAAGTCTACTATGTAAACTCAGCGTCAAACGGGAGTGGGTGTGGTGTGCGATTGGGCGTTGTCTCTCCCTCTTCGTTCCCCACAGAAGCGTGAACGCCCTTTGCTGACTAACCCCTCGCAATCCATGCCTGAACCAGAGCGTTGAAAAGTCTTTACTCAAAACCCATTAACCAACCAAAATTTTAAAAGGATCGTGGATTTCCGGCAACGCCGAGACATGTTCTCAGTTTGTAGCTGGTCTGGCCGGCCAATGTTGGTCACAAATCTCACTTCTTCACCGGCTTTCCCGATGTCCGTAAAATAAGCCGTAAAACCATGTAACTGCTGTTATCTGAACCAATAAAACAACTCCCACTAGCGGATTGCCTTAGCCACCTCATCTTCTGATCGTTCTCTTTCATCCCAATTCTACGCCACATTCTACGCGTTGGCAGTGTGTCTTAACCCGGGGTGGGTGTCTTTTCAAAGCGACAACAGCGGACGTTAGTGTTGGCAAAAACTGGGATTTGAATTTCGAGATAAGTCTCGCCCATTTTCGCACGAGAAGGACGTACTTTGATTGGTCTATCGGCTCGTGGTTTAACAGATTATTAGAGATTTTTCAGAAAAATTGAAGTGGAAATTGCAGCAGCCTCGTCTCGACGAGGTGTTGCGTGGGAAGGGAAAGGCCAATTATTGGTTTGTTCACATTTACCGCTTGAACAGCGCAACCTGACGTTCGCTGACAGTCGTAAACGCTTAGATTACGATTACTCCAGACGAGGGTTCTCGAATTAAACGACCACACTAGTTCGGTTTCCCGATGTGTACATTGGTTTCAGAGGAGATAGCTGCTGGTCTGCTGTTTTGTCACCACAAAAGCCCTGGGGAGGTCAATATCACCTTCACACGCTAGGTTAGGGCGTGCTCTTGAAAATCCATTCACTTCAACATGAAGATACTTGAGTGTGGAGCAGATAGATGTGCATTTCCCTGAAGTAGTGCTGGATTACTGCCCGCAGCCGTCAACTCCTTCAGATTTAACTATAACACGAGCCAGATTCAGTTAGCTTTGGCTTGCTAAACTAAACTCAGAATGGAGTAAGGTAAATGTTGATTCGTTCTACACACGTTTTGGGTTAGACAAGACCACGTGTTAAATTGACAGTGACGATGACGTTGGGGTAGCGGTTTGCTGATGAACTCCCGTAAATGTTAGACATATTTGGTTATAGCAATAAGATTTGGGTCTTCTGGCGTTCACAACGGCGATCTGAAGCAAGGAATTGGCGTAAAAGGATTAATATCTCGTGTTCTGTGATTTAATCACAAAGAGTTTGGCCACCTGAGCTCGCTGCTGGCAGCGAAACGGGACGGTTGCAGTAAACTGGACAGAAGAGGGCAAGTTTTTCCTGCGCCAGCGATGAAATTTCCCAACATGCAAACACCGCATTTCGTTTCTTCGCCTTTTACTAACTGAAAGCTCTTTTGCACTGTTCACATTCGCATCCACGCGGAGCAAAAATAACTGGGTTATGAAAACACTACAATCTAATGCGTAGCTGCGTGAACATTTTTTGCTGTTTGCAATAACGAAACTTGAGTAACTAGCGAGAACATTTATGCCGAAATTTTCCATCCATATGTCGCCAAGCCGGTCACGAATTTTGACCCAGAGAAGAACCATTTAACTTCCCGTCTCCACGATGAACAGTCAAATTAATCGCTAAGGTAGACATGATTGGTCCTTTATATTCTACAGCCTCTATTCATACAATTTCACAAATGGTTCCGATAGCTTTCAGACTTGACAATCTGAGGACAGCCATGTCGAAGCCATCGATCTCCTCAAACCATCCAATCATCATCAAAGTCGTCGCGAATTCCAATCCACCTATAACTCATTTAACAAATTTCGTTGCCCTCAAATTTACTAAAATGAGGAATCGCCAACTACAGCGTCCAGATAGCTCGTAGCTCTTGCTTTCTAATCTAAACACTTGACTCCTAGAATAAACCGTGCATGTGTCAATAAGCATATAAATTAAGAAATTAGAGAACAAAATTGGTGTTTTTTTTAAATGTTTTAGGCATCCGCATTAGGCCAGTGGCTTTTCGACGAAGTGATCAATCGACTAGGTGGTGTCCTTGAACGCGAGTATTTTGGCCTTCGTTACCTTGACAAAAGTAAACAGAGGGTAAGTTGAAAATAAATCAGTTCCTAGATCTCTAGCAAATATTCCAACCTTAAGATTGGCCAATGATTTAAAAGTGGTCCATAACCAATAGACGCATTGCGACAAGGAAAGTGCTCAACCAATGAAAAATGCATTTTATTTGTGTCTAATTTGTGAATGTTTGTTGAAGTAACGAGGTGAATTCTTTTTGTTTTAGCAATGGCTTGATCTCTCAAAAACTGTCTATAAACAATTGAAAAGTACGTTGCGTTGTTTTTTGAAAGTTAATTGACAATCGATCCATTAAAAGATCGCAGACATTTTCATTTCATCATTTAGACGTTTGTCCTCGGACGTTGAATTTCCGCGTAAAGCATTACCCTGGGAAACCGCTTGGAGAGTTAAAACAAGAAAAGTCGCGGTACGTGTAAATTTGCCATATGACAATTATTAGCAGTTCTCTAGATTTGAGGATGGGCATTATTAGTTCTCACATTCCCCAAAATTTAAAATTCACTAACAACTAGGCGATTGTTTATATTTGACGCTGTAGTAATATCGCATGTGATTGGTCGAAATGCATACTATTAAGCATGTTTTGATTGGTTGGTTTTCAGACTATTCATGCGACCACAGTCTTATGAAGTAATCTTGCAACCTCGGGCGTGGTCACCTGCAATCACAATGTGATAGTGTGGAGAAAAATTATCGTCCACTGGAAAAAAGGCTAAAACATCCATTCCTAGATGGATTTTTCTTCAATGTTGCACTTATTGACGGAAATGTCAAGAGTCAGGCAGATTTGGAGTAAACTAAAAACGCTGTTTAATATTCTGCCGGGTGAATATCAGACTACATCCCTAGGGAGTGTTAAACACCGTCTCGTATCTTCTAATTTTAACAAAAGTTGCTTGCACATTCGTGTCACCTAGTTAAGATCCATACAACCAATTAGGACACCGTATTTATAAAACCTACTGCTTCTCATTAATTAATGTTCGGTTGTTCGACACTTGTGTTTCCTTCTCGAAAAGGCAGTACACCACGCTAGCAGAAACAGTTCCTTTAGACGTGTAAATGTTAAGTGCATGCCACCACGGAATGCTGTCTGAGTCGAATGGACATGTGTCAACCAATCAGATGATAGGCCCCTGCTGGACGGGAATGAAGGTTCCCCGCAATCTCCAACCCTCCTTTGGTTTGTGTATATATTTTAATACAACGTCAATAATTTGAAAAGTTAAATCTTTTGAAATCATACTAAATACATCTAAGAATTTCATTTTCAAACTGCTATCATGTCCTAATTTTTTTGAAAAAAAGTATTGGGATATTGTAAGAATTTGGAAGGGAGACGTGATTACCTAGAGCCTGTATCGGCTGCTTCCAAGGTTCCAAATTTATTGGCCTGTTTCTGCAAAGTGAAGTAATGACCTTCCCTGTCTACCAGGACATACAAGAACCTTCCATCGCAAAAGTAAACACAACCCTTTCATTTCGCATTCCCAAAAATTTATTCTTTTGTAGAAGTAGCATGGACGTTTGTGAAAGTACACACAATATTTGAGTCCAGTTGCGAATGCACCTGTAATTGCTGAGCGATAGAAGCACCAGATTTTGCTCAAAATTATGCAGGCATTTGATACGCCCGATTACCATAGATGGCAATGGGCTTGTCTGCAGGGTTGACAGTTAGAGGGGCTTACTAGAACTTACACAGTCGTCGTGTTGTTAAGTTAGCTTGAAAAGGGCTGAGTGCTGGAACTGAAGCTACAATTTTTCGGCTCTTAATTAGGATTAGTTTAGAAAGTGGGCGCTATCTAAACAGCCAAGGTGTTCCTTGTAATGCATAACCTCGTCATTTAGTGAACACTAATCCCCGGATTACCACGGAAGATATTACGGAGTGACTATTGCTTGAACCTTTAACAGCAATTTATCAGTTAAAACAACCCAGGTGCACTTCGACACTCGATCTACGGGTGTAGACGAGTTTTGACAAGACAACACACCCTGAACGGTATTTCCACGGTCAGTTCTCACCTAACCCCTGGATCAAATGAATCGTTCTTGGAGAGAATCCCAACTAGCGACTGACAAAAAAAGTTACGAGATGGATTAGGGCAATCACAGTTGAGTAATTTCTTCTCGCTCATCTGTGGATGAGCACCCATCCAACTCAATATTCAGCTCAAATTAAAAAGCCTACCCACATTTGGTTATCTTTCACTGGGAAAACGCTTTATTGCCTAACACAGTCTGCAGAAACTGCTGATGCTTAAACTGGTAACGTCTCCGGTGGTAACCACTGTACCCGCCTGGACATCACTCCTTCATACTTTAATCTATTCCGTTCTTTACTGACTAACTAGATTATCAAAAATTACGATCTGACGAGGATACTCATAAAACCCCTGGCGACCGTCTTTGAGGCAAATTCATGTGGTTTTTAAAATACCTGTTTTTTCCATCCTCTTTCCAGTAGGTGCAAAAAAGGATGTTTGCGCTTCATTTGGACATTCCCTTAGCGGCAACACCTTTTATAAAGCAGTAAATTTAAAAAAAAACAGAATTTTCCGACTGGATTTGCGGCACTGCAGAACGAAAATTGTACTTAAAACCTTCGATCACCTGTCCACCGTCACATTGGGTCAAAACAGTTTACTCGCCTCTTTAAGAATCGATTTGCATGTTTACTCCCTTTGAAATTGTCGACACCAACTTGCCTTTCATGGCTGCTTTTCAGTGTTCTTGATTTGGACAGATAATTAAGCCAGCTTATTAGCACGACTCATCGCGTTAGCTGTTAGTTGACTAAGTGCCCGACCAGTAACTGCGGCGCCGTCATCTCATTTCAAACGAGGCTGTCGCTATGTCAAATAAGTGTTGTAGTTTGAAGTTTACTTGACTCACAAGGTCGGCAGATTTTTAAACGGCATTCACTGGTTCAGTTTGTTGAGTTTCGTCCGTAACTGGGACCCACGTCCTTAGATAGCCAAGTGATCTGTCTGAATGTGCCCATTTATATGAGGGAAGATTGACCTTGACCCAGCGGATCAAGGCGAATTAACACAGATGGGGCTGTCAGTACGGTGCCGTGGGTGACTTATCTATGTAAGTGGTGTGGCTAGGGGAACTGTGTGCACAATCAATATATCCTAACCCACCTAGGGGAATCCTGGATCCCCAACACAGCTGCACGCTTTCCACTGTCTAACTTCAACCCACGCGGATTGACGACTCACCGGCTGAAGGCAACTCGATGACGTGGAACATGACAAAATTGTGAGGAAACGGTGGTGCCTTTAGTACAAGTGTGTGCGTGACCCTGAACCACAACAACCGACCAATTGCAAATTTTCTTGAGTTTTGACTGCCCAATGAAAATTAATAATAGTTTTTTATTTAAAATTCGAAGATAAAGATGACCAAGATTCCTGAATTTTGAGCTAACATCATAAACGTTAGCAATTTGGATGCCTCCATTTTTTATTAAGAAATAAACCTCGCCTGTGGGTGGTTCCCACTAAAAGCCACTTTAAAAGTTCTCGTGAATGTTACCTTTGCTTCAAAGTTATGGCTTTATCAAAATGGGGTTAGGCGTTCCGTAAATTTTATGAGCAAATGGAAACCACTTCGATTAATGCTTCATGATAATTGGGGGTTGCATCGAGCCACAACTGTCCCTAACTTGGCGTTCTTCTGCATAAGTAATGTCTTGTCGGACCAGTCTTAGATTACCTGGTCACATTCGCTTCCCTACACAGAGTCCTGTTCAAGGCTATCTTGCGTGCTATTGGTGAAAGAATCTCGTTGATGATGATGATGATGGTGAATTTAAGCAATCTAATTTGTGCATGTGGCATATATGAAACAATTTTTGACCCTGCAGCCATTTTGACAGGTCTTTTATTATTTAAATACATAATTTACGAAGATGCACACATTGTATTCATTATGTACCCGCGGCTTTGACCAATATGTTTTTGGCGTATGTAAAATCAATACATTTCATTGGTTGCTTCAAAAAGTTGGATTTTCAATTTGCAGGTATTTCCTCTACCTCCAACTCCGTAGGGACCTACACAGCGGACGTCTCATTGGTCGAAATAACGATATGCACGTGCTCGCGGCACACATTCTTCAAGGTCGTTTCAGTTCGAGTTCAAATTGTTTCTAATTTATTGAAAAGCACCAACTGAATTGGCAAGATCCCATCACAGAGGCCTTTAATGCGACCTGACATTTAAAAAACACGCATTTAGAATGTTTGATGATGCTTTTGGCATAACACACTAGACTCCGCTCCGGATGTACAAGATATAGGGCCAGTTTAGCGATGGACGTCATTCCTAGACCATAGATTATAACCTTTCATTTACATAGAATGTTACTATTGTTACGCAAGATCAGCAGGCGAAGTGGTTGTCATGGCAGTTAGTACCTGTATTGTCCAAAAAATATGACGCACCTCAAGTTATAATGATGGGGCAAATGATAGGGAAATAAGGTACAATTAACTCCCAGATTAAAACAATAAGAGGTGGTTGGCTTTGCGAGCTGATGGAAGACGCGATGTCTGGTATTTCAGAGAGGGAGATAATTTATGCAAGATGTAGAAAATGAGATAGCTTTTCGACCTAGAATTTGAGTTAAATGTTGTTTTTTTTTTGCATAGGTAAATGTAACGCGCCCCGCCCACAGAATACTTTTATACAGATTGCATCTCAGCCAAAACAACTGCCATGACCAGTTTAGCAGATGCTTAAATTGGGTTTGTTTCGACACTCGCAAATAGGGAAGATCTTTCAAATGCACGACACGGTAAATTCGTATTCCCATCGTTTTGGAAACATACGCGTTGTGAAGCTGGTTTTTAGAGAAGTCAAGGACAGGAGATCAAACAGGGTTTATTTGATCCAAGTTTTCCAAACGGGCGAATCTACTGAAGTGGTTTAACGGGGTAATGGTGACCTGCCAATCATTTTAAACCTCCAACCTCCTCATGAATTTATCCTCACTCGCTGATTGGTCCACTCCAGCCTTGTGAGGTGTCAAGTGGTGGACATGAACAGCCGGAAAATGTCAAATGTTGTCACCACCTGATTGGTTGACTCATAACGTAATTTGCATATATTTATTGCAGAGAAGATTACGGTTGAAATTCCACTGCATTTCTTGACTGAGGCAAGAGACTTCAGGACCATGTAATTTGTTTCAAGTCCACCCTTATTCGAGTGCCTCAGTAGTACCTTCGTGATTTAGGAATGCTTCGACTTAGAAACAGCGATTTGCATAAATTACCACTGCATTGTGGCAAGCGCACAACCATCCACTTACGTGGTGAGAAATCTCGTTAGATTTCTCGGACCACCGTCTCAGGGCAATTAAGGCGGCGTCGTGTGAGATTTTCTCAGTTCTAAACTGACCTTGCGAAGGTTAGAGCCACAGTAGCCTCCACTTCCGCATTAACATGGCTTCAACAGAACCCAGAACTTGCATACCACCGATTTCGGATATTAAACACGCGTGCACTTCAGCGAGAATCACTCAAAGCACAGCACATCCTTGGGTAACACCCATCCACGTGTTCTGACCTTTTCCAGCTGAGATCGGAGACATCGAGAAGTTGGATGGCTTCTTGGGCGAGAATGGGTCGCTCGCGGACCTCAAAATGTTTGAAAACATGACCCCTCGTGTGGAGGCCAAAATTCGAGAGATCTACAGGTGTCTGCAGTAAGTTGACTTTTGCTTCGATGATAACAAAGGCCTTTCTACATGTAGATTTATTTGTGGCACTGTGCTTTTTCTGTGTCCTAATTACAAGGAAGAGAACAAAGAATTGCTAGCAATAAAGGCAAGCAACCAATAAGGATTTTTTATTGGTGGAAACTTTGGGGAAATAGAACTGTGTGTAATGATCGCAGGACATGGTTGTCCTGTTGTACTCCCCATCGTCAATTAATTGTCACTGGGTTTCATGACTGCTCGTGCTAAATTTTGTGGATTTAAATCTAGCGGTTAGGGCAAGGGGTGACAAACTGCCTCCTCAAATCGTTTCATTCCACGTTCTCGCAGAATATTACCGTAGTGGATTGTCTGACCCCCTATTGTGACCTCGCAAAACGTAAATGTAGTACAGGAATCATTAAAACCTGTCACGGTAATCGAAACGGGTAGCAATTAGTCTTCTCAAGTCCCTTTAACTTGATGAGTATTGAGGGTGGTCAAAGTGTGTGGTGGCTTATATACAATAAAAACGTAATTACTAAGAGAAGCTACAGTTAAATTGAGAAAAGTGCCTGACAATCTGTTCAATTTATTCATTTTCTGAAAAAACCGTAATCTTAGGCACCTGGTTGAGGCCTCATTAATTCTCGTTTTATTGCCTCAATCAGCCAATAACCTGTTTAGATAGTGTAGTGAAGAGTGACGACACGTGGGACCGCTCATTCACTTCTGTGTATGAACTACTCGTATACACTTTATCCATATAACCAACCAGACACCTCCATGCTAACTAGCTCATCTGAGTTGGATTAGACTGGGGCGTAAGGGGACTAGATCCAAGGCAAGGTGCTGCAGTATCGCCAAGCTGTCTTCGTTCCTCGTACTTTTGGAAAATCACTGCTTATCTCCTTGTAGCGGACTGTCGACAGCTGAGGCTGAAGCAAAATTCCTCGAACGCGCATCCGAACTTGAAACCTACGGCGTGGAGCCTGTCTTTGTGCAGGTAAATTCCCTTCATTTCTTTAATTAACAACATACTTGATGTGCAAAATCGTTGAAATTATGACCGTTGCGCTGAAGCGAGATTAATAAGTTAGGTTTGTGAAAATTTGGACATTTCTGCACCTGATATGAAGGCGACTGCTAAGATCCGACAAAATGACAATGTATGATTTATGCATTTTGAAGCGTTCCTCGAAGGAGACACATTAAAATGTAAGCTCAAACCTGGAAAACCACCAGGCAACTACAAGTAATGCAGTTTCGTGATGGTAAGATCTTCACCCGAAATTAGTCATGCAAAAATCGATAGCTTTATGCGATTCCTGTAATACTGATTTGTGAAATGGTGTGATCTCACATATTGATGAAATATGACACGTGAACACAATTAACGCCATGCACATTGACAAAATCAGCTCTCTAGAACCGACCTTCAAATCTTGAACGCTTCGATGAAGCCCAAGATTTGAATGGCCCATTTGCAAATGAGATCTGACCACGAAATTTGATTGGTGGGTTGGGTAATCAACTCCCGCCTTGGTCGGAACAATGTAATCGATCCACAACTTGGCACCTGACAACTCCCAGGCAGCATTTGAAGTTGGCGCTAAAATTTGCAGCGGCGTTTTGATCGGTCTGTACGGACGCTCGAGTTAACACCTTCTAAATCTGATTTGAAGTAAAATTGGGAAATTTTAATGTCCCTCAGACCAAACATTTGGCCACTCAGTCATCTGGCAATTCTATTGGTTCATCCAAACTACATTGTTAACAACCTCTATTTGTCAGGTACGACCTTGAAAAAACACAACTAGTTTGAGCCATCCAATTAGCGGTCTTTGCAGTTTTCCTGGGCATCTGCCATATGCTTTTACAAACGAAAATGTTTGGCTTTTGCTAATTTTACCTCCACATCAACATCCGTCTTCTTTTTTCGTACTTCAGGACAGGAAAGGAAATCATTTTTATGTCGGTCTTAGTCACGAGGGAGTGACCGCGTTTCGTGGAAACCGCAAGGCTCACGTCTTCACCTGGTAAGTCATTTGTTTAAACCAATGACAACGTGGATTACCGCAAAATTCAAATTTAATTCAATTTGCCATTTTAAGAGTTACACTTAAGAACAACTGAATTTGAATTCCGCAACAAATGAGTAGCCAATCAATATTCACTGAGAAATACAAGTTTTGTGCACACACACACAACGACGCACACCTTAATTTGATTGGTCGGTTAGCAGGCAAAAATAAACACGTTTTAAGTTGGGTATTTTTAAAAAAATTGAATAAAATGTACTTTAAGTACACAAAACTATTATTTTGCTACTTCAAATCAAATTATTGCCGTGCAGGTTCAGCAATCAAACGCCACATCAAGGGGATTTAAGAACAAAATCCCTCGTACCAAATTCATATTAATCCGGCGTTACGATATGCCCTTATTTTAACTCTACCAAATTGAATCATTTTAGGTCGAAAATCCATCGGATTAGTTTTGATGGAAAACTCTTTATAATTCAGGTCGAATGGGAGCGGGTAAGTGCGGCTGAATTTTCACGATTTTTCTTGGTAAAATTATCCAAACCGTATTGCACGATTTGCTCTTCAGAGGCGACATACCCTTGGTTTTAAGTGCCAAACAACAGAAGCCGCCGAGGCGCTTTGGAAGTGGGCAGTCGATCGACAGTGCTTTTTCACGTGAGTTTTAAATAACACATCTACTTTTGTTGTTTCAGTAGCGAGGTTATGGTTGCACGTTGCAAATTTGAATTTTAGCCTCACCAGATCCACTGACGCAAAGAAGGCAAAAGCGAGTGGCCGATTTTTCAGAAAACGCCAGCTTTATTCCTTTACGTAAGTATAAACGACCTCAACGCAAGTTGAAGGAGGGCACGACTGGTTTGAACCTGGTTCCCTGTTTCTGTAGGGGTCGCTGTCAAAGGGAAATGCAACAAATGACTTCAAGTCTACCCAACATTCCCCAACCAAGCGTCTCCAGGTAGGTTGGTGTATTCCTACTTAGGGGTTTTAAGTAGTGCAGCATTTAAGAGGACTTTGTAAGAGAATCTAGCCAATAGCGTATACACTCAATCCTGGAGAATCAGTGCCTCACGCTAATAATGCTTCATTGTGCATTTAGGAGTCGGAGTTTGCTCAACATTGCAAGGTAAGTTGTCTGCCGTTTTCTCTTCCCTCTGAAAATGTTTCCCGACCAACTCAGATCTCTCTGAAGGCAAGTTTGCTCAACGATTTGTACAAATCTTGTGCGTTCCGATGAATTGGTTTATCTAAACTGTTGACATTTGAAGCAGCGGTCATTTAAAAGTGGAATCACACCGCGAATCAGTTTGTCAACAAAGGGGGTAGGAAGCAGTCACATTGATGACTACTGATAAGCATCAGTAGGAGGGCATAGGGTATGGCAAATTTTGCACTAAGCAATTCCATCACATGAACATCAGTGATGCACCATGCATGGAAGGTGTCATGTTCTTTGCCCTGAAGGAGCGTGAGTTCGAGTCGACAGACGCGGAGTCAGGAGCAGTTGCATCGGTCGCTGGACGAAGCCATGGACAGGGTCCCTAATGCCAACAGCGACCAACATCTGAATTCCCGAGATCCAGGCTCAGAAATCGCGGCGGGAGGAGTCAGACTGGCAGGAGTAGCCTCGGAATCTGCCGATCAGCTGAATGTGAAGACGTCTCAAATGAGCAAACTACTCAATTGTAGGTTTTCATTGACACCGCCCTCACTCGTGTCAAGTAAAATTTCCCCAATTCCTTTAAATTTAAATCTGCATCCCGATTCTGATGCCAGGGCGTTTAAGCAGCAAAACACCAGCAAAGGTGACGTTGGTATTAGACGGTTTCATCCACGCACTCACAAGGTTAAATGATGGAGAGCAGGCAGCCAATGAGTGATACACAAATTAACCAATCAGATTGCACCTCTTGGGTAGTGTCAGAGTCAGTCCTCACGGGAGCATTTTCATAATTTGGGCTTAACAGGAGACCTCTTAGAAGGCGGTTTCCAGAATTTGAATCGGTAGGTGCATATTTTGAACTTAACAATTTTGTGGGTTCTTGCATATACACCCTCAACTCAATAATGTTACCATTTAATATCCACATTTAATCGCCTTTTAACGCGCAAAATTCCGGAAAAATCGGTCTAATTTTCGATGATAAGTACATAAGCATGCTAATTCAAAGACCAAATAACTTGTACGTTGCTGGGATTTTTTCAAAGGTAAAGATGACATTTTGAATAAAAATTAAAATAGTCACGAGATCAATTTTAATAGGTAACTGTACCCATTATGATCAACGTTAATGGATTCGAATGTGCTAAAATCAATAAAGCAATCAACGGAATTTCGAAATGGCGAACTATCATGTGTCATAAAGTTAAATCTACGTAAAGAATAACACGATGATTTTACAAAAATCAACATGTACCTGGGTGAATTGAAAGGCGTTTAAGGTCTGCAGACGACAAATGACTCTTATGGATGGGACATTTTAAGACTGCACCTTGCTTTGGACAATAATTCAAGTCAACAGATCTTCGTCGACTGAAACTGCAGATTGTACAGTTCTCACTTTCAAGCAGACCAAGTAGAAACTGTCCAATGAAATCTTGGGAAAAATTTTCCACCAATTAGGAGGCAGATTTTGTCTTGATAAAACTCTGGTTTAATTACCTGCCGTGCATTTAGTCATCACCTGAAATACGCTCGATCGGATGAATGGAGATATTAAAGATAAGTCATAAGAGACTATATTGGCAAAACCACGCCAGCATATTTAGCGATAATCTGATCTATCGAATTCTTAAAATAAAAAAATGATTTCTGTAAAAATTAAGATGCGCTTTCGAAAGATGCGAATTCGGCTTAAACGGCACTCCACAATTATACGCATACGAAAAAATGTTTTTGCCATTATGGTATACCACCTGGCAGCGGACATTAACCAATGAAATTAGTTCGTTTCGTACATTATGCGTCCCAATTGGTTGTTTGTGCCTGACGTGGTTGTATTTCGCCCTCTTATGTCACTCTGATTGGATGAGTCACCTGACTGTTGATAAAGCAACCGCGAAACCGCCACAGGCACTGCATAAATTTCCTCGAAAGGACTTTTTCTCCGAAGCAAGATCGTTTTTGACAATTACATGACACTATAAACGAGCAAATTTACGATTGACCGCTTTATTTTGTGCTTGTTTTATTTGCAACCTTTTCTTGGTACATTTTAGTAGTGTGCATGCTTGTACAACATGCTGCACTTCGTTTTAAAACAAATTTACTTTTAGCAAGTCATTAAAAACATCCAATGGTTTTTTATCTGTCCTAACGTCTTCCTCTAGAAGCATCGGACTTCAATTAGAGTCATGTTAATTTCTATTTTTTTCCTATCGGGTTCAGTGACTAACGCCAATGTTGTGCAAGCAGCTAAGAAGTGTATCTCAGTTCAATATAACTGTTAAAAATAATGCTCTTACAACGATACAAGACTCAGTCGCTTAATTCTTGCTTAAATTATGCAAAAACGCACAAATTGGTTGCTTTTCGTGATAAAATCTCGACAGGAGACGGTGGCAGCGTTAAAATACGTACATTTAGCATTTGAGAAGACAATCTGGATCTGAAAAAAGTTTTAATTTTTTCTCATTTTTCTGTGTTTTTTTCACATTAACTGAGGACTAAAGTAGAAGAAGGTGTGACAATAGGCAACCAGCTAATTTTGTTTATTCAAACGACTTAGACGTCTGTCTAAGTAGGTTTTTTTAAAGTGGATCGCTATTCCTTGCCATCCCCCATCTTTCATTGGTTCCACGCACTCCGATGGTCATGCTTAATCTTCAGATCACTCAGCAAAACACATCCACGAACGCAGTCTCATGAATCCAACACGTCGATGGAACAAGTCGCGACTCACTTGTTGCTTGATTTAAAATCCCCAATTTTTTCCCACCAATGTTTGCACGACGTTTTAATAGATCATCAGCCTCTTTCGACAGATAAAAAGTACTGCTTTTTGTGTCTCAGTAAAACGCCGATACAGTTTTTTGAACTTCCACGTAATTAACAATCGGGGTTGTCTTAGTGAACTAACGAGAATGTTCGGTTTGCAGAGAGCCCTATCCAGTCAAACAGAGAATCTCCATCGTCATGAATTCCGCCAGATAATTTGAATTGATGGAATAAACAAGTTTGAGAGTAGGCTGAAGCGCCACTTGAATAAGAGCCAGAACCTACGTCGTTTTCCTGTGCTAAGTGAGTTCCAGGTGAGAAGTGAAAAACTGCAGAACATCAGCCTGACCTCGAAGGTCATCAAAGCAAGCACCAGCGTGTTTTGCAGCACGATTAATCAAAATGTGCTGCCTTTTTAGGTGACAAAATGTATCGGAGCAGCGAGGTGATTGCTACCACGTCTGCTGTCTCAACAGCCAATGGCAGCACTAGTGAACTGTCACCGGCGGCTACGTCTTGGCCTGCAATGCCGCCGCGAAAACCCGATGTTCTGACGGAAGTCGCGAGAAAAGAGGTCGACGAGGCCCTCAGCCACGCTGAGGTTCGTTCTGCTTACGACCCAAGGTCACCATGCACAAGTTTCTTTTAATTAGCACGTCTTGTGGCGTGTGATTTGATTGGTCAATTGCTTACGCGAATCAGCTGCCTCGAGTGATGTGGACTTGATGCACCTCGCAGGTGTCCGATAGAATGTCGTGGACGCTCATTGGCCATGTGTACATGCTCAAATGTATCGGCATGACCAATACCAACAATGGAAACGAGAGCTACAATGGGTGTGGGAGTGGTAAGCATTACCAAGGTACCTGGATATACATCAACAAAGATGATGGGCGTGAATTGACAGGTTACAGGGACATGTTAACCCAAAAAATTACAATTATCTGCGTGCATTAGAGTGGGTCGGTGCGTTCAATTGGCTGGAAGAGTTACATATATTCCCCTTGATTCCATGGAATTTGGTATAAGTTTGTAGGGGCCGAGTTTAGCACTACCGCAAAACCCTATTGATAACAGCCGGTCACAACCCGAGACGAGGGAAGGCAGATTAAAAAGAGAACACGACCGTTTATTCGCGTCACACCCATCAAGTCCAGTCGAGTAAATTCGATTAACTAACTTCTGTGTGCGCATCGATACGCTTGCGTTACACACGACTGTTAAAAAAATCAATAACAGAGAGGGTGAGTCATTGATGCAGTCAGGCAAGTGTATACGCATCACTCGTGCGCGGTGGCTGTCTGTCCACACCAGTGCATTCGCGAAAAAAAATCGATTGATTTGTGTTCGCTGTACTGGCTCGCTGGTCACCACAAGTTCTTCTTAGGGGTACTCATCATTGATGCTGAAAATGTCTTGATGTCGTAACGGATTAGATAATTTTGTGCCTGTGCTCTTGGACACGCCTAGAGATATATGAAAATAAAATGTCGCCACCTTTAATTGGCTGAAAGTCAGGCCATCAACCTTTTGAGAAAAGCAACTGTTTCCTCTTAAACGCTGATTGGCTGATTGAGAATGATTGTGCTGCTCACCAATTGTATTTGAATCGTGTCAAAACTCTCGATGGGTTAGAATTTCATCAACGATTACATCAGAAACTAGGTAGAACAGAATACATTGACAGTGGGCTATGAATTCACTAGTTGCCGTAATATGGTAAGTACCGTTTCAGAAACCTGCATTATGGGCCTCTGTTAAGGCCTGAAAAAGCACTTGATCAGTTAAAGTACAATTGAAGGTCATTAGCTCAATCAGCGAGGTTGAAGGAATGGCCGTTTCACCTACCATTAATGTTCAATCGAAAAATGAATTCACGAATCTGCGGGAAGGTTTGACGATGTGATAAATTTATTCTGCTATCGTTTTGTTCGTGCCTGTCTGGAATGAATACGTGATTCTAATTGTATTCGGCGTTGAATGCATGAGGCATCTGCAAAATCATCTGCGTCTAAATCTGTGTACAGTCACCCGTTTCGCTTTTGGAATATCAAACGAAGGAGTTTAAGATGATCCTGTTAGTAATATATCATTTTCTAGATTATGCGACTAGTAACTCGCCGTCAAAGCGTGGAGCAGTTACAAGAACAAGAAGACAAGGCCGATCAAGTGAATGTGGACGCTGACAAGGAATCTACGGAAAAGAATTCGTCATCCCCGTCATCAGTTAGAGAAAGCGGAGATGCCAACCACACCTCGCCCTCCCATAAGCTGCACTCATCTCCCCGAAGACTCGATCGACAGGGGAGTTTCGATCGATCACCACCTACCACCAGCACTGCCGCTTCTGAGTCCTTCTCAACCCAGGTCCACTGCCCCCAGTCGACGAAGATGAACATCGATCGAGCTGACACCGGACCGTCGGAGTCAACCCTGCCATCATCCTCCTCGACACCCGCTTCCTCCGTGAAGAGTGTAGAGGTTTCACAAAGCATTGTCGTGGATCCGCCGAGCGGGTTCGCAGACAGCCCTTCAAAAGGCATCTACTTCCCGTACTTGTCGAAGGTGCGCACTCTTGGGACGGATTTCGATGGAAAAGGACACCAGTCAATGTACCTGCCCTTTCGTTTCGACAAACCCACTAGAGACCCGTTTAGTCTGCCTTCCCGGACCTCGGAGCTCTACGTGAACGTGGGACATTCGCCAGACCCTTTCGATTTTTCGCCTGCTGCTGATAGTTCAATCGCGCCAACACCTCCACCACCGTCAAATGAAGACCCCACCACAGAGGGATCAATGAGGCTGAGGCCTCCACGACTGGGCACCTCTCCGGTCGATAAAAGCCCGCTTCTTTTAAGGCACGGTTATGCCCCCTTCCGCGGCGTTGAAAGCAAGGAGATAAGACTCAGTCATCGCGTGGAACCACCGACCATCTTTCATCCGTGGCCAGCAGTGGAAGCGCCACAGGAGGACTTCGCTGCGCCTACCCCGGTGATCGTCCAAGCAGGACGCGCTGTTCCTGTGGAGGAGCCTTCCATCGTCGCTGAATGCTACGTCCCGTTGGGTGACGTAAGCGAAGATATTATATCACCTTCAGTGTATCAGTTGCTAGCAGAACTACACCACAATTTCGAGTTTATGGCATTTTCGGAAGCAAAACAGTTTGTTCTTTGAAACGTCTAGCCACAGAGACCTGTCCATTTGTGCGAGTTACTACGTGAGTTCATATTTGAGAAGAGATTTCGGTCAAAACCATAGTCTTCTCCAATAATACTACTCCAACACTAACTTGAAACACTTTTGAGGCAGTTTACGCACCCAAAATAGCAGTGCATGTTAAGAAACTGGACATAAACAATGCCTGGAGTAGTGTGGTGCTGGGTTTACTTCCGTTTGGTTATCTCAAGTGAGCGATTCTCTCAGTTCGCGTAAGTACATCTTGTGTGAAATTATCGCTTACCGGCAGTATTATCGAGGTCATGTTGCACTTTGACCAAGTGCGATTCAGGATTACCTCATTGTATTAAACAGAAACCACATTTTGAGCATGAAATCTTTTTCAGGACGATCTCATCTCCTCCAATGATTATTTTAAATCGATATTAGTTTTTTCATGGATTCAAAACGTCGCCTCTTCAAGCAACCCTATACAAACCTTGCAATTTTTTAAAACCGATGTTGCTACTTTTTCGCATAACCGCCGCTTTTCTTATCATTTCTCAGTTTTTCACGATGGGGTTAGGTTCGTTGAATTGCGAGTCTGTTGCAACAAAATAAGGCTCCCGCAACCAATTTGTGTGCCTTCCGATTACTTTTGGTTTTGGTGAAAAGCCGTTTTGTCTGAGTTGCCAACCTCTAAGCAGTCACTTCGACGATAATTCGAGGAGGGGGGTGGACCTACGAAAACCACGACGTTTGATAGGTTCCATGTTAAGAGCATCTCGAGAACGCTATTGGCTAAACCGTGTGAGACCTCGATTGGATTGGCTAGTCCACCCGCATACCTTAGGGCCCTTGAGCGCAACCTCTACGAATGCATATTCGAAGACACTAGTCGCACACAACACGATGCCAGCACACGTCTTCGTGCCATCTCAGTGGTCCGCGGTTAGGTCCTATTCCAGCTCCACTGCAATTCCTGACCACCTTGTTGAGGCAGACACTTCCGAGAGTCTAGTAGACGAACTTGTCTTTATTTGGCCGTACAATCGCCGCTTTATGAGTCCGTTGATCGAGGTAAGCCTTGTTTTCTGGTGTCCACAGTTGTCGCCAAATGTGTTGCCTCGGTACCTATCGATTGCTATCTGAGAATCCTTCAGGAACTCTGACAAGGCACAACGCCATTGGTTGAAAAAAAGTCGTCATCTTCAAGACAAACTCACCGGCCATGAATTGCCCAGCATGACAGATACCAATTTTGCAAATCGCACACGTTTACTTTAAGATAAAAAACTGTCAAAATCTGGTCTAGGATATTGTCGTACTAGCCAGTGGTGCAAAAAATGGGAAAAAAAGTGTTGTTTTAATGTGTTGAATGATGTTTTTAGGTAAATATGTCAACCATTTTGTGTGATTCCTTGCGCAGTCACCCCAGGAGGCTCAGAGAGGTTTAACAACTTGTTTTAATTTTCAAATGCTGGTTATAATTTATTTAGTCGACCACGTCTAAGGCCTTTGGCCACACCCAACCAAAAGTACGACTTTATGTGCCAGGAAATACTCACTTATCCGGTTTGATGAGGGCTGAACGCATGAAGCCAGGGGCAAATGGAGGTTATATGTCTTCTGAGAATCGCTACCGACCATTCTGGCGGCAATTTTTGATTGGCTAAAAGAGTGTGTGCAAGAAACCCACGACTAGCTCCTAGAATCAGGCTTATAAAACTGATTTAAAGTCTGGTCGAAGTGGATTCTAGGACCTAAGTCTATCATTACACCTCTCTCTAAAATATATATCCTCAGGGACATCGAACAGGGCTCCTAAATATCGATATTACCGCTTTTTATTGAACAGAAGATACTTTACATTATTGATCGTGTTCCATAACAGCTATCAGTGTACCATTGGCGTCCTGGTCAAGACTACTTCCTCGTAACTCCGCAAAATTCTTATATTTCGTTTTTAATCCAAACACAAGTGTGACCTGGAATCTTCGAGTGATCGTCAGAAAGACATCCTCAAGATGGGTTCATCTTCGACCTTCAACAAAGTCTAAGCGTTATGTGAGCCAATTCCGAAAGCTGTCCACCTGGACGACAACCGGTTGTTCTGGGCCCCAGCATGTGGTCTTGAACCACGGGGTTAACCCTGGCCCGATTACGCTTCCCTGATACCCGCGATTAAGAAAAAGACCGGAGAGGACGTAGACACAACCGTCTACTTCAGAGCTCAACCACATGTGTGAGTCATAGATGAGCTAACATCGAGACCCAGGTGTAAGGATAATCCAAGATAAATATCCGTGTGAATGAGGAGGGAGTTGAGGATCCACGCGGCTGGCGACATGCTGCGAAAAGAGGGACCCTGTGTCCAATGCTGGAGTGTCCGGATTAGCGAGTTTGAATCAACGCGCACCACAACACCCTGCATTGTAGAAGCCCTGGTGTGGTTCTAAAACTAGATTATGCGCCTACGAGTTGATTTTGTCGAAGAGAACTACAAAATACTGATGCCAGTCAAATTCGTGACTGAACGCTGCCACTGTACTACCAATAAAGACTCGAATATAATTGATCTTTCCCTTGTTCAAATTAGTATGTTTGGCATAAGGGTGAGTTAAATAAGGTGGGAATAGCATGGAACACAAAGTTATCTACTCAAGTGAACATCTTTTCCTGTGCCACCGATCGAATATTTATCCAACTCAAGAAAGTGGTTTTATGCCTCTAGCCAAGTCTCATTGTGGGACACGCCATGTCCATCATCCACGCTGCGCTGGAAAACAACGCTAGGCATAACAATGAAGGTGCCCAGAACCCCCTGTCGATTCGCCAGACAGCCGCCTCGTCGCGGCATGCTCCAACTCACTGCCTCCCCCTTGTCTGCTCATGCAGCACCACTACGCGCTCTGTCCGTCTGGCCATTCAGACTTTTGTAGTTCTACTAGTTCACTCAACCGTACCAGGCAACAACAAAAACAACACATTAGAGACATGCATAACCCTTGATACGCGCACACGACACCACACAACTCCGTTGAGCTATCCAGTAGACGATTGTGTCTCGCCCTCTCCCCACCTTCCAGCCGGCAGCGTAATCGGTGACCCCGACGTCCTTTACTCACAAACGTTAATTACAAATTTTGGTGAAGATTGAACTGGTATATTTTTAGGATGACGAAATTGACGATGATGACGACGAGGCGGAGAGAGCAAGTGAAGCTGGTCGGGCAGAAGTGCGTGACACTAGACGGCCTGAACCGCCAACTTTCGACTGGAGTGCCGCCTCCGCCCGCGTAAATTACCTCTCAGGTTCTGACTCCCCGGAGGTACTTCGCTTACCTTCGTTTTCACCAGTTGTTCTAAGCCAGGAGATTCTCTCCCCAGCGTAAGCAATTTTGTCCAGTGTCCTGTCCCCAAAAATATTACTTCTTAAATATTGCAAATAGTACGAATTTTGTCATTCTTGTGGGGATTTTGCCCATTCGCTGGTTATTTTTTGACGTCTACGCTGTTTCTATGTAGCCAACAATGGAATCTGGTCCCCACACTTACCTGGGCAAGTTTATCTCAAGGCGTTGGCTAGTGTAATCGCTTCCTGGTTGTGGGTTACCAAAGCGCATACTCCACTTGTTAATTAAATTCAACGTTTGTTTGACCCCTTAGAAGTGGCGACCTGAGTTCTCCCTTGTGCAATCCGCACTACCCTGGAGACGACTTGTTTCAGCAGAAGGGATTCGAGCCCGTACCCCTTCGCCACATTCAGAAAACCCTGGTACAAGTTCCACAGTCCAAAGAGACAAAAACAGCGGTGACAAGGGAGAACGGCAACCCACCGCCCCACACCGAGAGAGCGATGCCCCCTTCCAGCCAATCAAATTCTGAGCAGAGCTCTGACAAACTACCAATCACCCAGACGATAATCCAGTTCTTCTGGTTCCTCCTTGTACTTGTTGTCGTCCACAATGTCCTCAAGTTTATTCGCGTGGGTCCGATTCTGGGGTTCTTTGGATGTACTGGACCCGAAGCTGTGGGCTACTGGAGTGCTCTGGAGGCCTTTGTGAATTTCTTCTTTTCTTAATTTGTTTTAGCTAACAGATTTATCCATTCCGCCACCTTAACTTCTCGATGTGCGTGTTTGCGTTTTACTGAAGTGATGTACTACTTATAAATATAATCAGCGCATTTGTGAATTGGTCCTTCTTAGCTGACTCACTATTGAGGTTTTGTGACACTTTTCAATGACACGCAATTATGCTTGCAGTGCATTCTTCGTTGTCGTTTGCCTCAGCAATTTAATTGCCGCTGTTTTGACTCTAAACATTCAGCCAATTAAGTTTCAGTCCCATGTCAGTCACTAACGAATCAGCACACAGATTTCCAAATAGCGATCGATATCGATAAAAATCAGATACGTAAGGCTATAATGGCCTGAATTAAAGCAAATTGTTCTTTTTTTTTAAAACTTGAAGTTGTTAATTTCTTTAAACACTAATTCCACGTTTCACTTGTGTATTGCACGGTATGTCGCCGTAGGGAGCTACTGTATTCCTGAGATGTGGGTACAATTTAGACCAATAGGATATCCTTAAAAGGAATTGGAAAACCACTGAAGGCACATTTAAGTTTGACTGGTCTTGGTTGAACCCCCATTAATCTGATGTGGATCCCAGCATGTGGTCCTGAATCACGCCGGGGCCACGGAATCAGCCCTACTCCGATTACTTTTCCCCGATACCCGCGATGAAGAAAAAGAGCGGAGAGGAAGTGGACACAACCAGCTACTTCAGTGCTCGACCTCGTTGGTGTCGTTGTGTCGTTTGTGGGGTTTGCACGTGTGTATTCATATCTCGGATGTGTGAATCATACATGCGCTAACACCGAGACCTATATGTGGGGATACTCCAAGATAAATATTCGTGCTAATGAAGGGGGAGTAGAGGAATCGCGCTGCTGGCGACATGCTGGAAAAAAGGGGAACCCTGTGTAGGAGGTGGAGCAACCGGATTAAGGGCTTGAATAAACGCGATTCGCAACAGATCTTTTGGGCGCTGCTAATGTTGACGTGTTTGTGCTTGGATGCGAGTGTCCGTGTCCCTCAGTTTATAACTGTAAAAAATTTCACTTACCGCGTTGTGTCAACCAATGCCTCGTTGCCTCAACTGATGGCAGCACAGATCAATTTCAAAGCCTAGGTGTTGATAGTAATCAACTTGTCGATCCTGTCATCTTTTGTTTGGTCACTTATGATTATAAACGCAAACTTATCAAGGTCACAAGGGGTCCACCCGTTACACTCTGGTGGGCTTAATCTGCCAGACGTGGACCCAACGTCTAACTACCGCGTCAACTAAATGACAGCTTATATAGCTTCCGCTGTTAATTCTCGACCCTTAGCAAAGATACAAAACAATGGGGTTCCTCTCTAGCTAAGTAGGCTATCCACAACAACATGCACTCTACGCAAACCTGGTCTGTCCTTCCCCACTCCGCTTCCTCATTTTTCTGCGTGCTTTTCTTAACCTGCTTCTACACCCCTGTAAAAAGTTTGTACACGGCTCGACACTAAAGTAATTTCTTGTTATCGGGAAGCCTGTGACGACCAGCAAGTCCAGACGTCTTGAGTTTGTCTATTCATGTCTAAGCCAAATTACTCGAACTTAGAACAGCGTTCGTCCGACCGTTTATATTAGTCAGCAATTAACACTAACTTCTGTCATTCACGATCACGAAATCTAGATGCTCCTAAACAGGGACCATCACGAACAACGCAGGTGTTCGATCCAATCACGATTCGAGTCCTTAACGTGGTTGCCAGATTCAGTTATTCTTCAACACGTGCATTGCGATTATATGCTGAGGGCATGAGCGGAATTGGAAGATGAGGAACTCAACGAAATCGTCAGCACGTGTTCAGCCAGCCAATGGAAGCCCAACTCCGATATCGAGATAAGTTTGCTGCATTTTGACATCATCTGGAGCGAAAGAACATTAAATCGCGTCCGATCGACATTCTGTTATTTCGAGTCGCGTGAGCAGTAGCCGCCTTTACAGCTAAACTAAAACACGAAACTAACGACATTTCTTAGTCTGAACCGCTGGATGGGTTGCAGCCAAAGTAGGCTTGTTGAAGCTCCTGTGCAAACGGTTGTGCTCCTTCAAAGCTGAACGCATCTCACGATGTGACATGTGCTCAGGTAACATCGATTTCACATGAGATTTGGTTGCGCAGAATTGACCACAATGACAACGACTCACAGTGCGGTTCATTTTGGAATTTAGATGACCTTCAATACGAATACTGCTGGCCCATGTCTCTATTAACCCTCGAATCACATCCACACCCTAGTGAAAGAAGGTGATTTGAAACAGACAACCAACGCTGCCCAGGTGGCCGAAAAAAACGACCACACAGCTAGCTTCAAAATGACAGAATGTATTCTCAACTCAGAATATGCTTCATATGCTGTGTAACAGATGTGCGTGTGGAAGGGGTCTTTAAGCTCGTGGTGGTGGTTGTGTTGGTAGCAGCAGAGGATACAGCTAATGTCTTGGAGAAAACAAACAAACAAACAAAAAAATCCGGTGCTAGAGGGACTGAAGTCATTGTTACTGAGTATACAGAGTAGCGACGGATGTCATCACATACACAAGGAGAAAAAAATATTCATATTTGTAAATACCGCCTTCATGCAGAGTAATCGCCACTGCCGCTGTCGTCGTTGTCGGCAAGCGGAAGAGTGCGCGATCAAAGAAGCGAATAGATCTGAGATAAAAACAGAAGCAAAAGGGAAAATCCTAACCAGCTGAGAGAGACAACTCAGCCTGTTTATTGACTTAGTGATCTGTCGTTCTGGGGGCGCAGTTGGGGAGTGGCAGAGCGACATGTCTAGCTTTAAAGGAAATTGTGCTGATATCGATTTTGGGGTGAGTGGAGGTGAGAGGACGACAGACGTCCCCGCTCAAGGTAGCATGTCGTCCTGCATGGGGGAGGAAGGCGATAGGCCGGGGGAACGGGTGTAGACCGCCGGAGCGCAGGTTCGGTTACGGATGATTTGCATCATGATGAGTTTGCGGTGGCCGTTGCGTTCACCCAAGCCGACAATGGCTCGCTTGTCGCGTGAGAGTTTCACCTGAAGGACTTCGATGTTGGAGGTGAACCAGCACATCTGGGAGCCGTCTTTGATGCGCCAGACGCGAATCGATCCATCCCAGCTTCCAGACACCACCATCTCGCTGTCGCATGACACGACAACACTCAACACCTAGAAGGAAGTGTTTAAATGAACACGAAATGCATTTTGTTGGAATGTGGCGCCTGTTTTTCTACCAGGTTGTCATAATTTCTGCAGAACTTACATCATCGGCGTGGCCTTCAAGGGTGTGGAGTAGTCGTTCCTCCGGCATGTTCCAGACACGAACTCGTCTATCCTGGGACGCCGTGACCAAGAAACGCCGGTCCTCAGACAGAGTCACGTCGTGGATGATACCGTCGTGCGGTGGGAAGGTGGTGATGCCTGTGTCGCCCTCAAGGGTCGCGTTGATGCTAAACTGACGGACCGGCATTTTAGTGAGCAAGTTCCACACGATCAGTTCGCCCTTGCGCGTGCCTGTCACAGCCTCGTCATTGTTTAGGATCTCCGTGGCTTCGGCCTTTGCGTCGAAGGTGATGTACTTTGGCTGAACCACTCCCTACAACCAATCAAGAAGGATGTCAGCACGTCTCGACCAATTAGAAACGCTCTTGGAAGTTTCGGCCATCAAAGACGCAATTAAACACGCCGCAACGTGGTTTCTGGTGGACGGGGCTTTACAGAACCCGTCGATACTTACGCTAGTCTCGGCAGCCAAATCGAATACCATGAAGTAGGCTTGGTCGGTGCCCGGATTGTTGAAGCCAGCTACAACAAATCTGTCCTCGGGTGTGATATTAATGTAGGAAACACGGGCCTTGCTGTTGATAGGGATATAGTGGATCTCGCGCGTCAATTGGTTACCAACAAGATCCCAGACCAGGATCGATTGGCCTTGTGGAGTTGCGCGAGCAGCAACGATGTGCTCGCCGGCGTTCGATACACAGCTGGCCGAGCAGAGTATTTCAGCAGGCATCTCCAACTGCTCGCCAGTCACGAAGTTCCACAGCTACATAAAGAATGTTAAATGCTCGTTACTTATGACATGTAAGTACACATAATTTTTGAAAAAAAAATGTTTATCGCACCTGAAGGCGATGCATCTTCGTAGTTTCGGCTGACTGGAAGTCTTCAATAACCTGACCAACTAGAAGGGTGTCGTTAACTGCCAGATGGAGATCGCTGCATCCCAGCTCGTCGCCGTTCATCACCTTGTATGGCTCGCCAGTCTGCAAGGCAAAACCAGCCAGATATTCACGAGACGAATTTACAATGCACGTAAGATCAGTATTAACTAATTTCCTTACCTGCATGTCCCAAACCTGCGGCGGTCCGCTGGCAGATCCAGTTACGACATATCGGCTGTTCTGAGTGAGAACGCAGCAGTCGACTTTAAGGTCGTCGGTGGTGTAGACGTTAGGAATGCCTTCCATGTGCTGGTCCATCATAGTCATGTCATATCTACAAGGCAAAGGTTCCAGATGTAAATGAGCGAGGACATTGTCGTTGGTAGTTTAATTCTAAAGGTACGTAGTTTGTTGCGCTGTTGTAGTTCATGTTGTAGAAAGGAGGTCGCACAAGAATTGACGACTGACTGGCTTAGGGGTAATAAAACCGGGGTCGAACCTAGCCCCCATATACGTGATACTGAGCCTGTCCAATGACAAGTTCCGCGAATGCAAAGCCAATGGGGTTATCGTTAACATCTGGAGAAAGCTGATTGGTGGGGCAGCGTTTCTACACTTTGCTATCCGTCGTTTGAAGTATCCTAACAGAGGCCACGATGTGCTGAATGGATGAATACCTGGAACGCGTGCCATTAATGACCCGGGTGATAAATCGTGCCCAAAACTGACAGCTTCAATACACTAATGAGTCATCCTACCTATCAGTGATGTCCACGTGTCTGTCCTGACCAAAGACGTAGCCCGATTTTGACTGGCCGCCGGTTGTAAAGAGCGAGGCGCCACCAGGCGGAACGGGGTGGAAGTTGCCTTGGTGAGCAGTCTACAACAAAAGCTTTCCCTTGACAAGCTGAAAAACAACTAACCTAGATTTGCCTCGACAAAACATTGTGAAGATTAGTCTATTTTCGGAAACACTGGTCCATAGTTTAAACTTGCATTTGTTCACCTGGATTTACAAGGGTCTTCGAGATAAATTTGATGGCCACGGGAACCAATCAGGTGCATTTCCACAAGCACTCAAACACCTAAGAGCATCATTTTGGAATTGCTTCCACTCAGAACCATTCCCCACTCAGAGAATCAAGCCAAACTCCAAGTAACCAAGTAAAACAAGGCCATAGTGGACTCACCTGTGAAATTGTTCCATTTGTAGCCTAAATTAACAAGGAAAACAACTTGGTAAAAGCATTTGCAAAGAGAAGGGACAAATGTGTGTGCTCCTTTTCATGCAGTGGTCTACAGGCCATGCAGTTAATTTGGGTTACATGTGTGCGCGATATCGCCTTACACAACGCAGTCTCGAGCAGCAACAGACTGGCTGGGAGCAAGCACATCGAGGTGAAAGCTGGCAGTAGCTGGGACGTCTGCAATACATCTACACACAATCCAACACAAGCCAAGTTGTAGAACAGGCAAACAATCGGTTTTGGCAGAGTTTTTTACGATCCACACTCCAAAACACCTTCTAGATGTGGCTCAGTTTAACACTGGACTTTGAATCAGTCTGGTCTAAGATGGTTCACTCCCATTGACTCGTCTAACTGAATAATGTTGAGTTAAGTATGACGTCACGTTGGGCAGACATCAACAGTCAAAGTGAAGCAAATAAATGATGAAAGACAGTCAGCAGGTAAAAATGCACCACGGTGCTCAAACTCACAATAAGCGGTTTGGAACTCACTAAAACGGGGAAAAAATGAAGGTTAATGAGTTGTTTCAATTCGAATTGACTGAGGTAATTAATAGCGTGACGGTGGGCATGCACAGAAGCTACCTTGACTGCATTGTCAACAAACGCAGACACACTTGCGTGTCAGAGGCTGATGAAGCAAAGTGAACAGACCAGTTGCTGGTGTGATGCTGCCGACCAATCCGGCTGCAGGATTCTAGCTAACACCATCGCAACACATTTGAATCCTCAGGCTTAATAGCCGAAGATTGTAGCAGACACAGGGTGTGTTTGGAAAGTGGTTGGCGTGGAAGCACATGCAGGAGGACATCACATCGCACAGGGACATGCGAATCGGGGCCTATCTACAATCGTGCAAGCGGGTGCCCCAAGCACACACGCACGCACGCATGCACGCACCGGCTACCTTACCTATGAGATCTTTGTCAGTTGGAGCAGCCCACAGTCCAGCAGAGAGACGGTCCATGGTGTCGTGGAACTTACCGCCAGCGCCTTTGCCCGCACCCACACAGCACGGGCAGCATCCGGGCTTGCAGCGCCAACACGCCCAAATCAGCGCCGAGATGAGCGGGAGGAGGCAGACTAGGAGGCCGGCCAGCCAGGGGTTGATCAGACCGAAGATGCCGGCACCGCCAGCCTGCAAGAGCAGCGGTCCGCTGCCCGCGAACACACCGCCAGCGCCGTCTCCGTAGCCAATAGCTAAAGGCACAGCAGTAACTTAGATACGGCCTGATTCGTCTAGACGCTACACTCGCTGTGATTGCTAATTACAACTGCCTATTCAAATCACATGTCATTGCAGAGAAGTATTTGCTAAGGCGGTTCCCTTGGCCATCCGACCTCAATCAAATTTGAATGAAAGTAGAAAACAAGTAACTTGAGAAAGAATATTTGCAGTCAAGATACTGTCCGATTGTGCGTGCAAGCGAAATATCGGTTGTCGATTGGCTGAATCATTTTCCAATTTCGGAATATGCCACTCAAACTGTTTCACGTAATCGTAACGTTGAGTGTACTAGTTATGTTACTGGCTTGCGAGGTTGCCTTAGGCATCCGTAAATTCGGACACTTCACATGTTAATTCGACATTTTGACGAGTCCTACCCTTGAGTCAGAATATGCGCCTCTGTATTCATTAAACGTTTCAAGACATTGATTGCTATTAATTGACCAAAATTGGTCGATAATTTTGAAAATGAGCTGTGTAAAGCTGACTCATCATCGATTTCACGAATCCTATTGGGTGAGCCCGGACAAGTGCAGTTAGCGTAGCCGATCACGCCTAATTGATATCCAGGCACTTTCAAAATAACTTCAATTAACTTAAACGACACTAATCAGTGTCGACGCACACCAATCACTCGACCAAAGTACCACGTCTGTTAACCCACCTACACACTCAATTCTACCAATCAGAATGCAGGAGCGACACGACTAAGATTGCAGAATGGTTTACTGCGTGGGCATCATTTACTAGGCGCTAATGCACACACTAAACGATTCGATTTGTGAAAGCGAACAGAATCCGGGCGGAATCAAGGGAATCGTCAATTGCAATCAGATTTGGCGGGAAATCAGCAACGGGGTTAGAGTGGCGTAGCAAAAAAACGGGCAACTCACCGGAATCTGACGTTCTACCGCCTAGGGGATGACAGTGGCAGATGTTAGGGCTGGTAGACATCGCACACGACACTTACCCCAGAGCCCAATGCTACTTACAACTTATTAGTAGGGCACACATGCACCGCTTATAAATACAGTGGATTTCACTATTATAATGTTTGTCCTTCTGAGTGAGAGCACTTGCCAGCTTCAGCTCATTGTACCCCAACCTTCTAGAGCATCATCATTAAGCTACCACGGCTAATCATTCACATTGATTATCGGAATTAGTGAAAAGGTTCGGCGGTATTGTCAGTTCTCTATACTGCAAAACCACCTTTCAAGAAACGCTGGCATTCAATTAATAATGTTTCAGATTTACTCTAGCGACTCATGGCCAGAAAAGTATCAGGGTGCATCAATCAACTAGCACAAACACACCAAAGTACACATATACAGACTTGTTCGGGAGCCACCAATCAACTCCTAGTGTAAGGTTACGTAGAGAGCACAAAATGCATCAACTATTCTCCTCTCAAACATTTACTACCCACTTCGAGTTTTAAAGATGGTTTTTTATATCCTGGATGAGTCAGGGCTGTTTTGGTTGGTTGTTAGTGGAAGCTTACCAGTAGAACAAGGTTGTGCGAAGTGGTTTGTCACAAGTTGACTGGAATTCGTGACTCCTACGATGCGTGGTCGTGGCACCTCTAATCTACCCTGTGATTGGTTGTCAAAGGCCAATCAGATTGCAGTGTGGTTGTACATCACTTCAATGGTGAATGCTCGCGAATTCCATCAAAGTCAAAATGACTAGGGGGCGAAGATAGTGAGAAAATTGAGTAGGAACTCACGCGGAACGACCAGTGGGCCGCCGCCTCCAGGACCGCCGACAATCGCGCCGCCGTGGACACCATGACCAGGCAGCGCGGTGGGGAAGGGTAGTGGGGGTGCGACTGTGGTGGGGACGGGAGGCTGCAAGAAGTGCGGCATCAGAACGATGACCACGTCGTCCTTGTCCCCGGGTCCTCTTCCTGGCACTATCATCACGTTGGATCCACTCGACAGTTCGCCGTTATCACTCACGAGCATTCGACCGTTCCAGTCAAACGCTACAAGAAAATGGAGGGGGACGTGAAGCTCATGAATAACCACCAAGCAAATAACTGCCGGACAATTCAAGAATATGAGGAGATTGAAGACTCACCTCCAAGAACACCGTTGAATGTGTACTTGAATTTACGGTCAGCACCGAGGACTATTTCATCTGTGATCAAAGCGCCTTTTGAATCCACAAGAGCTAAAATTCAAACGAAATCAAATGCACAAATCGTGAGCTCTGAGAAGGTTAAATATAGTTAGAGTCACTGTGTCTACGAATAGCACAATATGACAAATTCTTCACCTTAAATCGTATCCACTAGAAATAGACGGCTTTTAGCTGGTGCAGCCAACATGCTGATATAGTAATAACTGGAATCGGACGCAATATCGGCTAACTGTACTCATTGGTTCATGCGATTTGAAGTCTAGTCACTAGGCTAAGCGGCTCACTGACCTCCTTAAGTTCTCGTGTTTAGCTGGTTTCAATCGCGCATGCGAAACCACTTCTAAAACACACCCTAGGTTTGTTGAATTAATAAATCCTTGCTCTTGGCAAGTTCATTTCTGCAGAAACCACTTAGTTTTTACAAAGAAAGTCGTGGGGCAGAATTTGGCTTTATTTGAATCAGGCTTTTTGACAACCAAAATAGCACTTTCTTTTCCGTACCTTTATGCTGTACACAGACTATTTTATTTGTAGTGACGAAGTAACGCAAGGCAGATTCGTGTTGTGGCGTTTAGTCAAATCGTGAGGTGCCCAGGTATCAAGTTTCTAAGTGCATCCGGGTTAATGTGAATGACGAATTGGCGTCGAACTGGCAAAACGTATTTGCTTAGTGCTATTATTCGCACGAAATTCACGATTGTGGTAATTCAGGAGACAATCAGTTAATAATATGACGGTGAACAAAACAACCGCACGCTCAATCTGCATACTTCTGCCAAGTGTCAAAATTGGGAACAAACTTGTGTGGTCATCCAATACAAACAAATTATTTTGAAGTAGATCGTGCGGTTTTTAATGAGGATTGATTAAGAGTACACAGATGGAGATTCTGGCTTTTGCATAGGGATTAGCTGGGGATCCAGGATTCGCCAAGGTGGCACATCACCCGATTTCCGTCGTTGATTAAACTAATCCCCTAATTACGCTACGTCAGCACGTGAGTCACTCACAGCGCTCTACTCACAACCCCATTGGTCAGGTCAAGGTCACCACTAGCTTATGTAAGTGTTTACATTCCGACCAATCACCCGGCCTTTGGCTGAGACAATAAAAGTTTTCCGCGCGAGGTCTTGTCTTGCATTGGCGTGGGAAGGCCGGTTCTAACGTCGTCAGACAAGGAATCTGATGCTGGTTATATGAGTGGGTGTTGTTCTGGTTACGGGCAAATGCGACTTGATTGACGGACACATTAAATTGCTTTAAGGTCAGAAAGTTGCAACAGATAAGAAGAAAAATCTTGATACTGGAGCTAAGTAGATCACGATCAACGTCCAGCACAGCGTCAATGTGTACGACTTATCGTCGTTGCATGACAATTTTGCCTTGCTTGTAAGAAACTCGGCCAAAATCCACGAATATTATGGAGAATTAGATTTAGCAAATCACCTCCAATTGAGTATTTTGGACAATGAATCTTTTTCTCACAATTTAAGCTTCGCAAAACCATAAATTAGCAGTCGTGATTCTCCTCAGTTTATGCAAATTGAAAAGGCCGGCGTGATTACAGAATTTAATCAGTTTTTAATCATTCAAACAATGCCAACTGTTTCTTGATTGGGCCTTCCATACGCAAGTTTTGTTGTCAAAAGTAGCTCTGTATTAGGTCAAATTTCAGTGCGTAATTTGTGTAGCCAAGGTCGTGATTTCACAGGACACGATTGGTGGATGCATATCCTATTCGTTCACACCCGCAGTCACCACCATAATATCCTTGTACATTTGTAAATTCCTGTGAAAATCAGCCACATACGATAAGCACCTGGCAGTCTAATAAACGCCAGAGTTCCCATCATGGAGTCATTATAACGGAAATACCAATCAGGTGCTTCCTGTGGATAGTTCCACCAATGAGGACTGGCCGAGGTGGTAGGGAAGGGACTCACGTGGGTTTCACGCACACATCCTAATCAGCAACTGTAATAGTCAGGCCTATTTGTTTTTTCGACTTGCGAATTCAATTCCAGCGCAGATTAAACGCCCTTTCTTACACGCACACGGGTGTAATTTCGATGCCACGAAATTTTTTGCATGTAAGATGAATTTTTTGCGGTGTCAAGATGTTAAAGTCGCTACACTGACACCCAGCTATTCACGCATTCCAGATTTCTGCATAATTGAAGGAAACGCACAAGCCTGACTTGGGTAAACGACAAGAATAGTAGGCGCGCATTTACATAATCTCCCTCGACATCTCAGTCAAATTTCAAATTCAAACACAGGGTGCGTCAGTAGCAATCTGGCAGTCAACTCAGGCTTCATTTGCACGTTCTCTAGTAGCTACTGAGACAATCGATAATAGGCGGCTTCTGTTGCCCGAAAAGGTTGACCAAATCAAAGCGGTTTTAGGTTGTTCGACTTGATCGCAAAAAGCAGCAGTCATTTAAACTTGATTTTACTTAGATATATTGCTTCAGGATTGGTCAAGATAAATAATTAACTACGGATAACTAGGAAAAATGTGATTTCAAACAAGCTTTAACAAACAGACAAGAGAAGTAAAACATCTTATTGATTTGAAGAAAATGTCGATTTAAAACTAAAGGGAGGTATGGTTGTCAGACTCATTCAGCGCTTTGAATAAGCCTAGTTTCCGCAAAGCGCTGTCAAAACCTAGAGAACATGGTCTACTTGTTGACCTGGAAGCAATTAAATTGTGGAAACCGCTTGTGTTCGATCACGATCATTTGACATAAGCGCTCTCCAATCATTCAACAAAGGTTTATTGGACATCATTGTTCGATGGAGTGTCTTCTTCTACCTGTGGTTTATCGTCTTTGGTGAGAGCTGAATAACTAAGTGAATTCTTGTGAGAACATTAACGAAGACTTGTTCACATCTGTAAATTGCATATTTTCGGCCTGGAAAACCTGATAACCAACTGTTCAGGTCTGAAAAAGGATCACGCCTTGAGGAGGTATGCTATTTTCTTGATAAGAGTCGTTCACCTGGTGTGAATGGAATAGGTTGAGAGCTCGCTTTAAACCCACCTAGTGTGCTTACGCCAACAACCCACACCTGTGTGTCTGGCTTGGTAAAATCAGACTTGGCGTGTGCTCACATCTATTACCTCGTCGTGTGAGCACCAGGTAACACCTGAAATGTGCATTTTCTCCCATCAAAACTTATCACTGGCTTGTCTAGACGTCTGGGGAAGTGGCAGTATCAAAAGAATCCACAGAATCCTGTTTGAGACATTCATTTGATCAAGTATATGTACTCATTTGCTTAGTATATTGCCATTCTGACATAAGCGCCAATGAATGAGCGAGATCCCAGGATAATGAAGTTTCAATGTTGATCTGAGAATGCGTTTTGCTATCACTTTGCAAGGCAGAACCCAATTGTCGGTCAAAAACACTGTGCATGCTAATTTTGCATGAAATTTTTCACCATAATAAACACCAACTTGTCCACATATAACCCCCGTCTAGAACAGTTGCGGTCTTCCATCATGTGGTGCCTTAGGTATTCGAGAAATTCCACAGTTTCCAACCTACGCCAAATCAAAATTAGCACGAGGAATGCCGGTCGGTTGCCACCAACAACGTGAAATTCTCATATTCTTCTTTCTACGGCTACGTGACTTCATTCACTAGCACACACATTCAAGAAGTACCGAGATATTTAATACTTAAAACCAGCTAGCAATTGTCTTCTAATTACGGTAGGAGAAACCAGTGAGAGATGTGAGAGGTCCTTATCGATCGTCTGCATATCCACAGGCACGTGTATCGTTACAAGAGGGTGATAGGGTTCCTTTCATATTTAGACAACCTTGTAGACTTCCTTTAAGGCTGACATTTCGAAAAGGGAGTATCATATTGCATGTCTAATTTAAACCTTAGCGACTACCATGGACTGTGACTTTACCTGACTCGAAAGCAAAAAAATTATGTACGGGTTTGTAGAGGCTATCCAGGCTCTGTTATTGTGACCTCTGCTATCTACTTTGACGAGATTGAAGCGCTTAGTGAATAGAATATCTACAAAGAATCTTACAGGAGATAAACTACAATTTTTGCATTCATTTTGCCCTGAAGTTGTAATAAAACCGCTTAGACACTGAAAATACACACCAAATTAGTCGTCTTAGAAGAACGGCCTCATTGTGCGCAAATATGCCAAACTTTGGAATGAGTGGTTCGGTTAATGGACATGAGTCCTAGGAAACGGGCCCTGTGATAAAATAAGACCACTGGCTCCAAAAGAGTACAAAATTAAACAAAGTCTTTCTGGGTTGGTTTCACCAATGATCTGTAGAGATTCCCACTTCGATCATTTGAGTTCTTAGTAGCAAAGAGATCGCACCCCTTCTCTGGCCTCCACTCCTCTGTGTTTCTCCACGACGATTCGAAGATTTCAGCTACTACGAGCAGTGAAATTCGTTTGGAAAGCGGCATATTTACATGTATTTGCTGCATACCGAAATTCCACGTTTAGTCAGTCGCTTAGGGCGCATGGCGTGCACCAACAGCCTCACAGACAACTGTTTTTTGTGCGAAATTTCCGCGACAGCAGGAGTACGTAGTCTTACCCATTGTTGCGCAGACAGTTGTCTTGTCAAAAGTATTTTATTTATATGGCGACAATTTTGATGCAATGAATAGTGTGCTTCTAGGCCGACAGCAGAAAAAGGACAGGGTTACCAGTGTCTGAGAATTTGTTTGCAAATGCCAGAAAATTGTCGCTCTTTCAAAAGGTGCAAATTAGACGCATGCCAAAAACATGAGCTTAATGAAACTGATGGAAAAAATTAGGTAAAATGCAAAAAGGACATATTTGGAGCAGCTAGCTTTCCTAGGAATGACTTACACGCGACCGCGCGAGTGTGTTTCGTTTAAAAGTTGAACGATGCGTCAGAGGTGTAAAAATCCTGTGTGTTGCGCAATTAGCGATTTTCGCAACTGCAGAGGCGTTCTCTAAGGCCTGTGTGTGTGCTTATCAACATCGTAAAAACGGGTCTGCACACGCACGCATGCGCACACACAGGCACACAAAAGCGCCTCTCTGATTGGTTTTCGAGCCTAGGGCGACCTTGAGGTGACCAATTGTGGTGCTGTTTTGATTGCTTTTGCACACAATCACGACAATTGGCTCTTGACAGAAAAAGACATTTTAAAGCCGGTCATACGGTGGTTAGGAATTTCCCATTTTTTAAATACAACCGACAATCGACGCAAACCGACAAAAATAGTCATGCACAGCCATAGACTGACAACTGCACCCGTAAATCTTAATGTTGGAAACGAGAGCATTTAGTAATGCCCTAAAAATATTTTTTATGGTTTCTGGAAGTTCTTCTGATGGTTTTATTAGCGCTAGATATTATGAATACCCGGAATTTAAAAGAGTCATTTTAACGACTTACAGATGTCGTCAAAGACGGTTCGATGGCCATCGACGGTCCAATCGAATCGGCTTCCGTTGCGTAGCAACGTGACAACATGCATCTTCCCGTCATCGCATTGCTGATAGGGTGCGCTGATCAATCGGATATCGTCCTTGCTATTCGACACAAACACCTGTTGTCCCTTCTACAGGAAAAAGGGTAGAAAGTCGTGATATTTAGTAGAAATGACGTTTTATTACCACGCGATCGTATCGAATTACTGATTTTCGGGTTAACTTACAAAATTCTGATAAATTCAGTGGTTTTTCAACCTGTTTAATGTGGGTTTTATTGCCTCTAATGACCTTTTCAACATTGCCGCGTTTTTCCCGTTCCGAAACACAAATACTTATGAGTAAATGAGTATGGAAATACGACAGGTGACCTATCATCCCTATGTCGATTTACCCAGTAGCTGGCATTTCGACAATCTGACCACTTACCAGGCCCTACATGAAACGGGATTCAAATCAGACGAAAAATGCGACTGAACGATCTGTCAGTCGTCCCTACACGCGCTGGAAACGCGAACATGAGAGCAAATAAACCTTTTTCTGTCGTGTAAATTAATAACTCCAGGCTGGATGTTATTTTTTGTCCTGGTGTGCCACAATGTTGATACTTGCCGAAGTTTGTAAGTTCTGGGTGGACGCGCTCAGCCACGGGCCATTGTGGAAACATTTGCACAAGATTACCGCCTTGAAGAGTCAAGCAACCATTCAGGGAGCGCATTTGCTGCTAAATTCTACTGCACCATAAATTAACATTGAAAATTCCAGACATCGTCTGAGGTGGAGGACAAAGAAGCCTTAAGACTCAATCAAACTCTACAAATCGGCTAATTCAATCGAAACATGCGACCTCAAATACCAACTCCATGTGCGACAATTGCGATCCGACGCGTCGTGCTTCGCTGACCCGCGACTACCCGACCTCAGCGCACAGGAGTGACCTCACCTGGCACATTATAATTGCCTACGTGTGTATGCATGGGTGAGTCGATAGGCCTGCACTTGTGGGTTGGTTTCTGACTTAGAGCACGACATTCAAGCTGATTGGCTGCTTAGTTTAACACCAATCGTTGATGAGTGTTCATCTGACAAGTTTATTAGGTCATAGACACAATGCAGTGTAAAACGATCGGTTGCTGATGACTTTAAAGCGAAATGGTCACCTTCTGTGAACGTGCATTAGCAGGCCTATTGCAATTCGACTTGGGAAATAGTAACGAGGTTATGCATGCATCTTATCAGTTCTTGAGGCGGACTTCCACGGAGTGCTAGACAGTCAGATGGTTCTTCTGTATGAACCAAGACGTGCAACTCAAACTGAATCGAGGTCAGCGTATTGTTGGCGCTAAGACGCCATTGAGTAAGGATGACTCACCATGTAAATCTCGTAAAATCGACCATCCTGCGACATGAAGCGAGCAATCGGTCCATCGGCCGTGTAGGTCTGGAAGGCGATCCTCATGCGGTCGAGATTCGTCCGCTTGGGTGGAACTATCGGTATGATGATGTAGGCGCCGTTGCCAGAAACCGCAGGGATGTAGCCACGTGTAGCTAAAATAAAGCAAAATGTGAAACATAAAGAAATGCACACTTCTAACTTCGTTAGAGTAGGCTTCCATTGGTAATGTAAAAAATGAATAGATAGCTCATTACACAACATAAAACTTTACCTGTCTCAGTTAGACTAGTGATCACAAAGAGGGTTTCCAGACCTGATCATGTCAGCGTAAACCCCGTTCCTATGGCGATCGGACACTTACGTTTTTCGCATCTGGAGCCTTGCCAGCCGGTGTTGCGGCAGTCGCATTTGAGTTCATAGTTGTCGACGTAGCAGATGCCACCGTTGAAGCAGTAATCAGGGGGGCAGGTTGGCTTGGGTTTCTGGCCTGGGAGGATGAAGCTGGGCAGGAGGACGTAAATGACTTCACCGGTGATGACTTGGAGGCCGCCTTTCGCTTCATCGATTGGGTATCGTCCGTTCCAATAGAGACCTACAAAGACGTGTAAGATCGACACATTATATCGTGTTTCCACAAACGGGGATTGAATATGCAGCCCTTAAATAGGGATTGCCTGGGAACGAATGATCCTTCTGCTGCTGACTTCCAGATGACACTGTCACCAAAAACGACTTTGCTATTTTTCTACTGCTAATTACTAAGACATACGAACACCCAAAACGTCAACAACATCTAAAAGGTCCTCTAAACACACAAGGCGGACGTCAAAACGAGACAAGCCAAATTAGCCTACTTACCACCGATGGCGCCACGGAAGATGTCCTCCCTATTTCTATTAGCTCCAACAAAGAGGGTGGTGTAGGTGATGCTCTGGTCGCTTCTGTCGGTGATACCTACAAGGGAACAAAATTAACGCCAATTTGAGTCTACGGCAATAACTGGCGTAGAGGACAATTTGAAGGGACGCCACCTACCCGTCATTGGCAGGTTCACGAGCTGATCGTTGTCGAGAGTGACTAACATGCTCTCGCCCTTGCGTTCAACCGTAACCACGTGGTAGGCGCCGTCGTTGACTAGGTTTGGATACATGTACTCCTGGCCGTTCCTGTCCACAACAATGTGTCCGTTGCGCTAGAAGTACAACATAGGTGAGTGGCTTTTCTCAGTGTTTTGTACATGGAAACCAAGTGTCCTTACCAGTTTGATGCCCCATCGGACCCCTGTCGTGGTAACGAAATCCAGAATGGTTCCAGACTGTGCGTAGGTCTTGAATCCCACGGTGATGTTGTCTTCTTTTGTCTTCAGTGGGGGTTTCAATTCATACACCATGTAACCAGTCTTCTCGTAGTCGATGTAGATGCCGTTCACATCGCCATCGCATCTGGGTCCACTGAGGCCTGTTTTCCAGCAGCTGCAAACATACCTACCGCCAGGTAACACGGTGCAAATCCCGCCGTGGCAGTAACCCGGCGGACAAGCAGCTGGATCACTACAGGTCGGTCCCTGGAAGCCAGTGCCGAGGCAATTGCAGATGTACTTTCCACCAGCCACCGTGCACTGACCGCCGTTGCGACAGTATCCAGGTGGACAGGTCTTTGGCACGTCGCAGCGTGTTCCCTTAAACACAACAAGGAATCAGGAGTTAGTGACATTGCAAAGACCTCACCGAATATCTGGCGGTTTGGGCTTTACCTGGTAATCTGTGTTAATACAGTTGCAGACGGGCATTCCACCTTGCATAGTGCACTCTCCACCGTGGTAGCAGTATCCCGGGGGACAGGTCTTGGGTATCTCGCACTGATCCCCCTCATAGCCCTCAGGACAGCGGCAGTGCGGTCGTCTGTCTGGCCCGGGGTAGCACGTGCCTCCGTGGTGACAGAATCCAGTCGTGCAGACGTCCAGCTGGCATTGCGGTCCCCAGTATTGCAGTTGACAGTCACACACAGGCCGTCCGTTCTCCACGCGACACGTTCCGCGCCCGGAGCAGTAGTTGGGCGGGCAGATGGGCGTCTCGCATTTGTCGCCAGTGTAGGAGGTGTAGGAGCAGTCGCAGAAGGGCAGACCGTTCGGCAGGGCGTGGCAAATGCCCCCGTTCTGGCAGTAGCCCTCCGGGCAGACGGGCTGACTGCAGCGGTCACCGACGAAACCAGTTCCAGTGCAGTCGCACTCCGGAGTGGTCGCGCCGGGTCGAATAAAACACCGACCGTTGTTCATGCAATAGCCCACAGGACATATGGGATAGTGACATCTGCAAACAGAAGCGGCCAAAGTCAATGAGTGTTTCGTTAACCACAAGTGGTTTTTAACAATCTGGTGTACCAATGAACTCAAAAATGGGTTTGTTTACCTGTCACCAGCAAAATTGAGCCCGGTGCAATTGCACCTAGGATTGCCGTCGACAACATAGCAGGTGCCGCCGTTCAAGCAGAAGTTGGGTGGACAGATGGGGTGAGCACAGCGGTCGCCTCTGTAGTCGGTTCCGGAGCAATCGCAGACTGGACGTCCATTCTGCACCGTGCATCGGCCACCGTTGAGGCAGTAGCCATCTGGACAGATTGGCTGTTCGCACAGCGGTCCACCGTAGCCCGTGTTCGTGCAGTCGCAAGTGGCCGCACCATTCTGCACGACGCAGCGTCCCCCGTTCATGCAGTAGTCCGGTCTGCAGACAGTCTGCTCGCAATGCGGTCCCACAAACCCGGTACCCCTGCAATCGCAAATCGGCTGTCCGTTCTGCACAATGCAGCGTCCACCGTTGAGACAAAATCCAGGCCTACAGACCGGCTGTTCGCACAGAGGTCCACCGTAGCCGGTGTTGGAGCAGTCACAAGTTGGACGTCCGTTGACAATGGTGCACTGACCACCGTTCATGCAGTATCCAGGGCGACAGACTGGGGTCTCGCAATTTGTTCCCTCGAAGTTAGTTCCACGGCAATCGCAGACAGGCCTTCCACCTTGGACAATGCACTGGCCTCCGTTGAGGCAGAAGTCTGGACGGCAAATTGGCTGTTCACAGTAGCGTCCCTGGAATCCGGTTAGAGTGCAGTCACACACAGGTTGTCCATTTTGGATAAGACAGCGGCCTCCATTCTGGCAGTATCCCGGTGGACACAGCGGCTGATCGCAGAGCGCGCCTCCGAAACCTGTTCCTCTGCAGTCGCAAATCGGTCGACCACCTTCAACGAGACATAACCCTCCGTTCTGGCAGTATCCAGGTCTGCAAATGGGATTCTCGCAAACCTGGCCATCATATCCCGTTCCCGAACAGTCGCAAACTGGTCGTCCATTCTGCACAAGACAGACACCGCCATTTCGACAGTACCCGGGTCGGCAGATGGGCTGGTCACACAGTGGGCCGTCGTAGCCCGTTCCTCTGCAGTCACAAGTTGGCCGACCACCTTCAATGACACAGAGTCCTCCGTTCTGGCAGTATCCAGGTCTGCATATGGGATTCTCACAAATCTGGCCATCATATCCCGTGCCCGAACAGTCGCAAACTGGTCGTCCATTCTGCACAAGACAGACACCGCCATTTCGACAGTACCCGGGGCGGCAGATGGGCTGGTCACACAGTGGACCGTCGTAGCCCGTTCCTCTGCAGTCGCAAATTGGTCGACCACCTTCAATGACGCAGAGCCCTCCGTTCTGGCAGTATCCAGGTCTGCAAATGGGATTCTCACAAATCTGGCCATCATATCCCGTGCCCGAACAATCGCAGACTGGTCGTCCGTTCTGGACGCGACAAACTCCGCCATTTCGACAGTACCCGGGTCTGCAGATAGGGCGTTCGCAGAGCTGGCCTTCGTAGGCGGTTCCAGAGCAGTCGCAGACCGGTCGTCCAGCCTGCACTACGCACCTTCCACCGTTGAGGCAGTAGTTCGGTGGACAGACGGCGGAGTCGCAGCGCGCGCCGCCGTAGCCGGTGTTGACGCAGTTGCAAACCGGCCGGTCGTTCTCAACACTGCAGATGCCGCCGTTGAGGCAGTAGTCGGGAGTGCAGATGGACATTTCACAACGGTCGCCATAGTAACCGGTGCCCTTGCACGAGCAGACAGGATTGTTACCGCCTAGCGAGCAGACGCCGCCGTTGAGGCAGTAGTTCGGGGGGCACGTAGTGATGCGATTTTCACAGCGTGAACCAGTGTAGCCCGTGTTGGTGCAGTTGCAGCGTAGCACCGTGTCGCTGACCTTGAAGCAGACGCCTCCATTCAGACAGTAGTCTGGACTGCAACGAACCAGGTCTAGAAAGAGGAAAGTCGAATCGCTGCAGATTCGTGGAGTCAAGACAGGGTGTCTGAAGTGGACAACTATCATGCAAGATGACCTCTAGACTAAGAGACCACGACAGGTAGGAAAATCAGTCTTTTGAAGGCAAAATAATTGCCTGATCGGAAGCAACCTCGACGACGACACACAAAACCAAAGCTCGGGAAAAGGATTCATCAACAAAAAAAGCATTGGTCAAAGCAAAATGAAACGAACTAAAGGAGAGAGAGGGAGAGGTAAGCACAGAGAGTGGGCAGCCACTATGAGATTTTACAAGCAAGGGCAATGGTACCCAAGAAATCCACATTCGAAGCACGATTGCTACTTATTGTAAATGAGTAACTAAAATTTTACAACAGCAACGGCCGTAAAACAGCGGCTTTTACCACATGTGACAGCACTGGCGATTTTTAAAGCCATTTTCACGAAGAAAAGAAAGCAACATGCTTTTTTGGTAGATTGCCTTCACAAGAAAACTCACCGTCTGTGTTCAGGCAGGAAAATTATACTCAATGAGAATTTTTATAAAAAAAACGGTCTATGGGCCTAAAGCATGACTGCGGCTTAAGTCTAAGTACATCCACATGGCTCAATGCTCTTACCAGGTTCACAAGTCGATTCTACTACACTCAAGGAAACAAACAACAATGTTAATTATAGACTACTTAAAAGCTGAAAGTAGTGATTTTATATCGTAATGGCTTAATTCTAAGCCCAGGTTCAGATTCATCCATTTGCTTGATTGTCCACATCTGCACAACTAGTCAACACCGTTCATCACACACTACCTTGATTCCCATCGGTTACCACACTTATACGTCTGCGTCGTTATAGCAGCATGCCATGAGGCGCTGTAATTAAGTTGTGCATTTTTTAAACGCTAAAACTCAGCCTAATTGTCCAACCAGTGGATTGGAAAGTGACCTACCTCTACAAAAACCACGAATAATTTCGCCACTGGGATAGCTCTCCAGTTGGGCATCAAACTTTTTTAACAAATCGACCAAAAATCGATCTGTGCGCGTGCTGAAGCCACCGAGGCAGCCAGTTAGTGCCGGGGGACGCGTCTCGTATCCAGGGGGTAGTGAGGTCGGAGCGTAGAGCCGTATTATCTCCAGAATCTTGGTCCAAATGTTCGGAACCCCGCCAAAGTGGAATGTGAGTGTGTTTAGGGTGTTGTGTTGAAGACGGTGACCAAACATCTGCAATTTTTGCAAAAAAATACATTAACCTATGCCCCCCCTGGAGATCCACCAATAAAAAGGGTTCACAGCAAGTGTAGTACAACGAATTATACAGCCGAATTTTCACACTTAAAAAAATCAATTATGATTGGTTGGCCATTCAAGCAGGAGACAATGAAGAAGCAGTGTTTGTACACACGACGACCATGCAGATTAGCTTTAGGTGATCTGGCAGAAATCCAGCTTGGAATAAGTGATAATTTTGCGTGTATAATTGACAAGTAGATTCGTGATTGGTTGAAAGGAGGACATCGGCGAAGTGACACAACACATAGACGTACCCGTTGTGGGGAAATATAAGGCGCAAGGGTAAACACCTTGACGGTCTGCAACGATGGTTACATTTTCAAGGGTTAAAGTAAACCTATTTAAAAATCTACACACACACACACACTCCTTGCTGGAATTTGATTGGTCGTGTTTGACCAATGACATTAGTGAGTAAGCAGATCATCAGAAAAATGAGGGTTACGGGCATATCGATTGAAGTAGATAATCGTTGGAGGTATTTTAACAATTAAAGTATTTTGTCCCCATAGAAGTGACCTAGATCTTGTCTTTAAATTGATTCAAATCATTCTAATTCAGACAACATCTACTAACTTCTGGTAATGTAGTAATTATGTGTCAATAAAAAGTCAGAAAGGCGGTAAATCCATGCAAGTCATTCTCCACAAACGCACCTCAGGAGCTGAATCGTCCACAATGACAACGATGCGTCCTTTTATGCGGTCGAGGCCGAAAGTGACGCGGTGCCAGCGGTTGTCGGAGATGGTGATTGGACTGTTGATAATCTCATGCACTCCAGTGACTCCACCAATGGAATAAATCAGATGAAGGCGCCCTTTAAGGATCATCAGTGTGAAGTGCGATCCGGTGCTGTCATCCCTGGCCTAGAACCGAAATTAGAGGTGTGAGTGAAAGCATAGGAAGCAAGGCAACCATATAATTAATAAGAGCTATTGATTTTATTTCGAACAAAAGAGAGAATTCGATTGGTTGGAAGGTGACCAATAGCAGACCTACTTCTTCCTAATCTAACTTCTTATTGGATGACTACAGTTAACTCTCCTTCGCGGCTATAAGTGGTCGTATTCAAAAGGACTACATGTAATTCCGTGACTGTATGTAAAGAATTAGCTGTTCTCTGGGTGGTTATAGACATTTCTGGTGGACCCAAATGCACAGAACTTGGATTTCGTCTGGTTACTCACATGGAGAAGAACGCCGTCGTACTTGGTCTTGAACTCCAACAGCCACATGTCACCCGCCTCCTTGGCCTTCATGGGAACCGTGATGGTGCCCCACTCCAGCTTCGACGTGCACGTGATGGAGTAGATGGGTTCACGAGGCCAACTTGGAAACGGTGGCAGTTCCAGTCGTGGCGTGAGCACATCCGTGGTGTAGTGGGTGATGAGCTTGCGGGTGCCGAAGAAATCGTACTGATTCCAGTAGAAGTTGCGCATCTCACCGACAAACTTAGTGCCCTTCGGCAGGAAACCAGCCATGTTGCCGTAGGGCGGGCTAGCGTAGTTCTCGGGCATCGAGCCACCGACGTAGATCTGCTGAGCGATGTTGTTGAAGACACCCTTGGGTATCTCCACGATTAGCACACCTTAAGGACAGAAGCCCAACCACGTCAAAGTAGCCTTGGCAACAGGTCAATGCTAATCCACCAATTAAAATTTTAAACTAAAAAAGATGATTGCCACATGCTTGCTTATTACAAGAAATGCCCCCATCCTAAACGTGTGCTAATTAAGTATCTTTGTGGTGGACTGACAGCCACCTCGCGTGAGTGTACGCGCATGAGGGCCCGAGTGGACCAATGACTCACCCCTTTTGTTATTGGCCTCTGTCAGCATTCGCCTGTTACGCACGCGTACTCAACGCACACAAAGCCACTTTGCTGGTTTGACACTAACAAACGGTCATGTTCCCTGTCGCCGCTTTTCCCCCTTTCCTCGGGTAGTTGCGGGCTGTTAACTAGAGGGTTGTGAGGTAGTGCTAAGCCTGTAGCCACTACATCTTGTCTTAGAATGTTCCCATCGCTGAGTCCACAAATGCCGAAAATTATAAAAGAATTTAAAAGTAAACTTGCCATTTTCTTCACTTGCATTGTCAACGCTTATGTAAAGGAATTGGGCACGTCGTCGAATCCGCAATGTATGCCAAGTGTTGTCGTTCAACCTAGGGCTTTTCAGCAAAAATTCCTGCAAAATACGCAGACAATGTCAGCCCAACCGCAAATTGTTTTTCACTCTACTCATAACTTGAAAGTAGTAGAAACTTACGGCATCTCGGGGTGGTTTGCTGGCCTTGTTCATGTTGGTGCTGACTTTAATGAGGCCGTTTTCAAGTTCCACCCGGAAGTACTGCTTCTCAGCTGTGGAAACCGCAACAAAAAGGGGCGCGTACAGGCTCTCTGTCTTGAACTGAAGGTTGATGTCGTCCGTGTGAGTTGTCAGGGTGTTCATCTGTCGCTCAAAATCGATCATCAGCACGGTCTCGCCGTCAAAATCGACAATCGGTGCATCTGAAGGGCACAAAATTGAAGCATTAGACCAAACCTTGATGGTGCGTGGTTGTGGGTATGGGAGAGGCGCACCTCTGTTGCAGGCTTCCGACCGTCTGATGTCTTCCACGCCCTCCCTGAACGTCTTGTCCGAGGCAGAACAGTCACAGGCAAAATTCATCGGCTCGAAGAAGGGGTACGAGCGCTCGTGGCATTGGCCTCCACCGCAGATTTCCCGGTTACATCGTAGATCGGGGGCTTTGCACACGCCGAACTGAATTCCGCGGCTCAAATCGGTGTGCTGATTCATTCGTCTTCAAAATACAAAAAAAAACTCTTTGAATGCCCACATATCGGAGTCTTTCGCGTTCTCCGACAGTGCACTCACGATGCTGGATCCAGGAATTTGTCGTCGTTGATGCGAATGAAGTTGATGCATCCAGCGAAGTTCTCTCTGGACCAGACAACCCACGGAAAACGAGACGGCTGGTCGATGCTGCCGAAGTAGGTGTAGCTGGAGAACTCGGCCTGGTGTCGCACCGTGCCCTGGTCCACGTCGACTTCCTTTCCATTGTACTTTACCTGTGAGAGACACACACGGTAGTGCTAATGAGATCTCGCGAAATCGAAACCGATTTTTATAGGCGTCAAAAAGTGAGGGGTGAGTATATAGTTGCTTGTGTCTAACTGACGCGATTTCAATATATTCGAAACAGATCTTGGCGAGGCGATAGACGAAAATGGACACACCTTATCTGATTGGTCAGGGCGTCAGCCAATCAGAAGGCGCGTTAACTCACAATAAAGCGGTGCTGTGGGGTTCGTTCCACGTAGACGCGATGAGCGGTTCCAGTGTTGACTTTACGCGTGTCAGGGTTCAGCTGGATGTGGCGGTAGTGGTCGCCGATGCCGTAGGCGAAGTACACATTCCCGTCGAAGATTTCCACGCACACGAAGTCGGTGTGCTCGCGATCCGGTCCCCTGTCGAAAGCAACATAAGTTAGAACGATATCGAAGGTAAAGAGGGTTGTGCAATGCTGGTTAGCTTCCAGCCAACGTCTTCCAATGTGTTTTGATAGCGTTGGATAACCTTGTGCTAGACAATCACGATGACAATCAATTAGGTAAATGCCAGACACGCCACGAGACAGCCACGAACACATACACACGCACGCACGCGCACTCATCCCAGTGCGTGGTGTGTCGTAGCATCGGGATTGCGCAAGGCAGGATTTAACGCGCTAGCTAGACTGAATGCAACCTCCCTCAAACAGGCCCTTGTGAATTACCGTATCTTCGGTAGTGTGTGCGTCGTAGAATTGCCGATTATCGCGGTTAGAGAGGGTGAAAATTGCTTAAATGTATTTCAATAGCATGTCTCAAAGTATAGTCAATTGACGCAACGCCAATTGAACCACACTACCTCAAGTGTCGTCAACCCGAAGTTTTGCATTTCCATTTTTTTTCAAACTACTGGTCTTACAATTCAATTTGATTAAAACAAACACGATTGAACAACTTAAAAAAAAATCGCATCATTACGAATGCAAATTGCGGTCACAATTTCCCAATTTCCCTGATGCTCGTAATGTTTTTTCACGTCCTAGAAATCACTCGCAACACCACTTGCATAAAACAGAAATTTCTGACCATGGAGATTGCACCGCATAAACTGACAGGTCAGTTGTATTATTTCGTAAAAAAAAGTTGGTGGCATTATCTGGCGATGTCCCATAAAAAACTGCATGCTAGCAAGCACCCAAGGTGCCCAAAATAAGCTCCATGTAACTGCACCATCGATTTGACTGGCATTTTGTAGCGTTCACGGAGCGCTGAATCACCGTCTGCGTGCACAAGCAGCACGCACTTCCCTACCCACCCGTGCGCATTAAAGCCGCGTCGTGATTGGCTGTTTGCATCATACCAACTTGCAGATCAATGACGCATAGACCAATTGCGTGAGGGCACGATCCGCACGTGCGCTCGCGCTCTCTGGACTTGGGACATGTAGGCGGTAGGATCTGTCCTTGATTGGAATCGGGTTTTTTTTTCATTGCTGGGGCAAGTAGGGGCGGCTTCGGAGTTGCAAAAGTGCACGGTCACGTGTCAGAAAGGTGACCCCAAAAAAACTTAGCACCGTAACCCACTGGGTGATAATGTCCACTTTCGTACGCTTGCCAAACGACCTTCACTGTTAAACATCTCGAATGGGAGCGTAACTAGCAGAAAAAAAACAAATTTTCTGGCCGAAACTAATCGGAATAATCCCCAATACTAACAAAAAGAAATTAGTTAAGGGAATTAACAAAAAATCTCAAGTTTCCGGTTGCCTTTAGAAGCATTCAAATGCGTATTAAATTACGTGCAAATATTGATTAAACGAATTTCCACCCAACACGCCCTATTTTAATTGGCTGATTTCAACTCAGCTGTTACAATGCAGCCAATCAACTGTAAGGGTTGAAATTATTCACAACTTAAGCGGGCTTATCTGGGTTTTGAGGGGAAGAGCGGGGATCATTTAATTTACACTTACGCAAACCACAATCCCAAACTACATCAGACATTAAGTTGTTTAAAAGGATGTCGAAAGTTGTATGATCCACTTACAAACCTCTGGAGAAATATGCATGGACTTTCCGAGTGAAATTGGAAAATGGGGCAGTCTTAGAGGCGGTGTAAGTTTATCAAAGATAGACAACAGTTCTATAAATGCTTGGCAGCGAGGAAAAAGAAATCAGAACGAATCAGAGCGAAGTGTTTGAATTTGGGCGAAGAAATTATGCTTCATTAAGCTAAATTGCCTGGAAAAATAAAATTCCACGCAGCAGTTTACTACCTGTCAGACCCACAACACTTAAACCCACGTAGTTGCACTTGTACTGCCATGAAACCTAGCCCGATTCAATCGCAGTTTCACAAATTAACCAAAATTCTAACTGTGATGGTGCTGTCCGCATGCACAAGTGTCCACTTGTGCAAATTCTACCCACACAAAACAAGATAACCACACACTGGGCCATTTTGAGCCGCCAAACGAATTCCAGTGGGCGTGCGGCAACCAATGCGCTTTGTGGTTATGCGAGAGGTCCAATGGGCCGATCTTATGAAATTCACACATTACTAAGTTTACCGGTGCATGGCACCAATTATCTTTCATACTAAATTGTGTGGAAGTAAAAATAGGACTCAAAATTGATTGGTTCACCATGGGGAACAAGCATTTTCTCGTTCGTCGTCAACTAGGAACGTGAACTTACACAAAGAACAGAACCCCATTGGGCTCGAATGTGCGGAATTCGATTTCGAAGGAGTGGAACACCGAGAAGTCCCAGGTGTCGAAGCGCACGACAGAGGACTGGGTGCCCATAAAGGTGACGGGCATCGGGGAGGTGTGCAAGGTGATGCCCGCGTGGTTCCTGGTTGAAGCCGTCGGCGCGAGAGGCGAGTGGAAGGGTCTGGTCGGTGGTCGGAAGGGCATATGGTACTCGTATTCTACGTTACCCTGACGCAACACATCACGCGTCCACTCCGGATCTCGAATGAGATCTAGCATGTTCAGATTTGAGATCCCTGAACCCTCTTGCGTGATCCTCGCCTATTGATTGGTTAGACAGAAGAACACGTAAGTTGGACGCAGAAACCTTCTCTAGACGTGTGATTGACTAATCTTGAAATGGTTTGCATTAGATCCCAACTAATCCAATTAACCATGAGGCCTCTCTGGCTACAGTGTCCAAATGAATGACGCAGCTACCATCTTTTTCTGTCAATGTCGAAATCGGCAGCAGTCCACATACATAGGACATTTTAAATTGTCATTTCACCTGTCAATCTGACCATCCATTGAATGTCAGAGCTAGTTAAGCAAAAGGTCTCTTCCATCAAATTTGGAGTTCCAATGTAGAACACAATGTCACTCGTTTAGATGAGATGGCCAATAACTACACTAGACACACACGACTGTGAACACACAGCAACAAATTAGCTCGATTGGACTGTTGATTAAAAAAGATTGAGTCATTCATGCGTCTCATTTCATCCATTAGTACATCGTGTTGGATCATCCTCAATTTCGCGAGCACTGCGTCAAGAGAAAATGTTTTCTTCCAGAAACAAATCAGATTAAAAGATCCTGTCACAGAAATCCGTGGGGGTAAGCTCTGTCTTCACGACACTAACTTGAGCCTGCCGTACATACTACTCAAAAGTAAGCAGCAAAATTACTCACTCCAGTGACACGTCCATCGAAATTGCGTGAAACTTCGCCATCAGTGGCAACCTCGGCGTTGGCCGAGCCACCAATGTAGACGATACCGTTCTCTGGAATCAGCGGTGCCTTGCCGGAGACAATTTTCTTGAATGTCTGTTGAGTACCGAGACTCAGGCTGAGCTGGAATGCAAAAGTTTTTGAAAATAAGCCCAAATCAATTCTGGCATTATTCTTTTCATTCAACTAGCGTTTCGATAGCATTTGTCCCATCCTAAATATCCTATCAATTCGCATTATCATCAACGTCCTGGCTGATACCTTTGTGGTGTTTTTGAGTTACTGTTGGCATCTGGAACAATGATCTAAATTTTGGGCACGCCTATTGGTTAACTCACAACATGACGATCAAGTTTGATTGTTATAGATAATGCGTGTGTCACCTAGAGGTACCACAGGCAACGCTAAAATTCAAATAGATGGCGGGATATTTTTAATCAACCGCCCTGTTTAAACTGGGATCTTTGTCCTGATTGGGCGGTAGCTGCCATGAGAAGTAATTTAAGCGCACTGATTACAGTTCACACGTAACTGCGCTTTTTAGCGAGCACCGTTGAGATTGGCTTACCGTACTTTCGCTACGCAAGTCATGGTCACCACCTCGTGATCAGAATCCAATAAAATGCGATTTTCATTGCTTAAAAGTCCAGGCTGTGAAGATCGTGCAAAAAATAATTTGAAAGGATTTAAACCACAGAACAATAGTTTGGGCAACTTACAGTGGCTGATAGTTTTTACATTAGCTATAAAATCCACTAACACTTAGCAACAATTTCCTAATTGGTCTTAAGTGCAAAAAAACATGCCAGTTTAGATTGCAACGCAACAATTGGCGTAAATTTCCTTCCTAATTTGGAGCAAATACATTAGCATTGATAGATTCGCTACAAGGAAAATCTAATTTGGTCGAATCTGAGCCAAACAGATCGCTTAGTTGAATCGGTGACTTAAAGACTGCGCCTGATTTTTCTTGTGCACGTCGTCAACTGCTCTGAACCAACTCCACGTCAGACATTTCAAGTTGGTTTGTCCAAACGATAGTCTCTGCAACTTCGATGATCGATAATATTTTACCAGGCTCGGTATTAAATCATGCGACCGAAAACCTGCCACCACAGAGATACAACACCACCTACAATGTCGTCGTAGCGTTTCAATCGCAGGCGATGCGTCTTTCCAGGTCCGATCGACTCATTGATCACCACCTCCTCAATCAGAGTCCGCTTCGCTCCAAGTGTCTCGTCGTATGCGATGTACTTGTAGTAGAGTTTCGAGTCCTACAGGACAAACCATGAGTAGCCATAATTAGACACTCGCGCTCAACATGCATTTTAACACAAAGCGCCAATCATCGCGGCTTGAAGTTGAGCCAGCACCGAAGTCTGCTTCTTCACGCGTGTTTTAGGTGTGCTGGCAAAGAGTTTTGTGTGCGTCGCACAAAACAGAACATGCACACACACACACACTTTAGCGTCAATGAAAGCCATCTTATCTAGAGCTCGACTAGATGAACGACTTATAAGTTCTGTGGACCATAATGGAAGCTTCCTGGCATGGAAGACAGTAATTCCAAGGGTTTACAGGTGATGTGAATTAGTAGAATAAAAGTCTTGTCTATTTGAAAAGGCCTTGCACTTGTAATTCTGTTCCAAGTCAGCGATTGGCTAATATGTCGAACAGTGATTAAGCAGTCTCCACTTATCGTTCTCTGCTTCCAGTTGGGATCATTATGTTAACGACATGCTTACTTGGAAAACTAATTTAATTGGCGGAAGAGAAAAGTGGTTAGAAGTTTAAGGTCACGTGCCAATAACTAAAATTGCCTTTTGTCGGTTAACCCCGAGCTTGACTATGGGCGTTATTCGTAGCATAGCATCGGTAAACTTCACGTACACACACACCACATGGCTTGTTACGAGCAAGGAAATGTGGAAGGGGACCTCTATAAACCTGCAGAATATTGCAATCAACCGACCCACCTTGATGATTATGAAGCTCTTTGAATTGGGGCCCTCGGCAAACCACAGCAGACCTGACGTAACCCCGGGCTTCATGACAAAATCAAGAGCCACCTCTTCCCTACCGACGTCACCGTCCGGTCGCAATGATCGAATCCTGTTCCTGAAGTTGTAGCGTACGAATCCGTTGGTGCCTTCAAAATTGAGGGCAGAGACGTTGGTTCCGCGGCTGTAGGAGTAGGTGTCTCTCCTTGATCGTCGAAGGGGCACATCCTCGATGACATTAACAGAGGTCAGGACCTTTCGGCTGGCACCACTTGAGGGTCCAACAGTGATTTCCACAGCAGGTCGAGACGTGGGTGATGCCAGTGGACCAGCAAACATCCTCGGAACGCCTAATTGCAGTTCACCTTCAGGGGTGGAAACTTCTAAATCCATTTCGCTAGTTCCCGGTTTCACCAGAACCTCCACAGTAGTCCAGTCGGAAATGCTTGAAGGCAGTTTGGCTTCTGAGACAACGTGGTCTCTCCAGGTTGCCCGAACGATGCCGGAATCGGGCTCAAAATCCACATGAAGATTGGGAATTACTGAGACCAGATTGATAGCACCAGGAACTCTAGCCCCACTGTCGATATCTTCTACGTGGAGGAAATCGAACCGGAGGTAGGTTTCACCTAAAAAAGCACAATTAACTAGATTTTCAGATTCCTGAATAAAATAGTTGAGAAACCTACTTGTTCAAAGCACAGAGAAGGTGATACCGGTGTTTTACTATTTGAACCAACCAAACGGATCATGGGGCAGCACCTGCCAATTTCATTGGCTGCTTAACGGTATCACTGTACTCATAACTGCATTGTTTTGATGTCATAAAAATAATAGCAAGGAACAGGAGGTTGTGATTTTGCCGAAGTTCACTGATTGGCTATTGAGTCGTACTTAATCCACATCACATCAGGTGACAAGCTGCCAAATTAGCATAGCACATACATGCACACACACTCATCACCCAAAAGCAGCATTAGCAATGCGTCGGTAGACAATTGTGATTCATCTTGCGCTGTGACTACGAGATCATTTGTTTGAGAGTATTAAATTGCAAAAAGTTAGAATTTGAAACGTTATTTACAGTTTGGAGACTTTTCGATTAAGGTGTGAACACTATTAGCAAGTTAAGTGAACTCGACGTTGGTCTGTTATTGGTGCAGGACACACAACCTCAAACTGTCAAATCAAATTGGTCGGTAATGGGACCATCGAGTTTACTGAGCCGACAGATGAAATCCGTCCTGCGTGAAACACTGATTGACTAATGCATGGCACCAAAATTGTCGCTTCACTAACGTCGTGGGCAAGCAGAAGAATTCCAAGGACACTGTTGGGCCTCAGCGGGAGTTAGTGGGATGGACACGCCGGCTAGGGAATACCAAGGGAAGTTGGCGCCCGATGGAAGAACTAAATTTGAGGCCAGAGAGTCATTGCTGCCTGAATCTGTTGGGGGAATTCGCTTGAATGGCGATCCGTATGCCGGATCCAATCGCACGAACAAAAAATCAACGTTGTCCTTCTCGGGTAGAGGTTCTTCGAAGTCGACATCGAGATCTCCATCGAGCAAGTCAATGTACCCTGCAAAATGTACGAAAATATTCACATCAAAAGGTATAAATTTCGAATGTCTGAATAAGACCGCATTTAAGCCTAGCCTTCCAATCGTTGAAGAGATGGAAATGTTTTGTTAGTTTCAATTGACAGTACAACGAGAAACCAGAGCACACCTTATCCTCGGAATGGGTGCGGTGAGTAGAATTGGTTAAAAGCAGACTAAAAATGAACCAGAAACCAGTATTTTATTCTTGCCAACTGAGGTTGGTGTGCTTTGCTTCATTTTCGTTAAAGCATAAGTGCACTTGCGTGGGTTCCAAGAGCTAATTCGACATTAACCGGCAATTTGCCAATCTAATGAGGCGGTCATGGAGGTATTTTTTGCGTTTCCGTGACTAAATGACCGCTAAACTTTGAAGAAACGGCGAGTTCAACTTATCTAAGGAGGGTTTATAAAAAAACACGTGTCGATTTTTATTTGCCAAAGGCAAAAATGTAAGTGCTAAAATAATCTTTTAAAGAACACCTATTTCAATTTAACTTCTTTCACGTCTGCAAAGGTAGATCGACAACAGGCTGGCGTCTGAAATGACCAGGTATTTTTTTATCGTTTTGCCACAGGTAACTAGCTGAAAATGTACACTTCTGAGAGCAAAAGAAGTTTGCGAAACCAACGTTTCTTTGCCTCACACAAATGTAATCAACAAATCACCATTTTTGTTTATCACTATTTTCCGTTAAATTGTAGAACAATTTGACTTTAATCATTGAATTGATCACAAATCCAGGCAAGAATAATTCCAAAAAATAAGCTCAAATTGCACATTAGTTAAATGGAAAAAATGGATTTAGACTAAGCCAGTCAATAGTGGTTCAGCCTTAGGAGTTGTCGATGGGGTAAGGACAGAATTAATTTGCTCTGTGTGAAATTTCGAAAGCCTAAGTGATGGCTATTTAATAAATGGAAGGACTTCAAAAAATCTCGCTAGGTTTCGCTTCGTTCAACGACAATTCATATCTGGTTAATGTTGGAGTAGGAAAATGTTTTAAGGCGCAGAACGAGATCTCATGTTGGTGGTCAATGACTGTTTTTTTTCTAAATCGATCATCAGAGCTGCTTTCAGCTGCCATAGCTGTAAGCAAATATGCTTTGTTGAGCTCAAGATTTCTGCCAGGGGCATAAATCACTAGCACTGGATTTTGGGTGGGTGTGAGGTAGTCAAACATAGGTGTGACGTTGAGCTATGCGAGTCAGTTGCAAAAACATTTGCCAAAATTCTCTTCTAAGACAGCCCGCGCATCAATTCACGAGGCTGCGGCTAAAGGCGATCAGTTAGAACGAATAAAAGGCAGTCTTTGCGAGGCATTAACTGTCCTATATTCGTTGAACCCTATCCATAAGTTTTGATTTCTTGGTTGATCAGATTTTCTACGATAAATTTTTCGCCAGAGAGGTTCCTTGGGATTTGGTATAGAAAGTCAACAGCTCAAATGTTGCCTCGTGAAGGTGGAAAAATCTGTCCAAATTTACAATAAAACTAACGAGATACACCATGTCATGTGGGAACATTTTGAACCTGGTTTAAGAAAGTGCGACGAAATACAACGAAGACGTAGCTTACGTCGAGGTTCTGCAAGTTCTTTTACCACGAATTCACAGCAGGTCGGTCGTAAAAGGCCAAATACGAGAAGAAGCGATGCGACAATGCACAAGGCACTCCGTTCGTTCATGGCGAACGAGCGTGTTATCCGTGAGACTGGCAATTAAAACGCGTTTGTAGTAGCTGTGTTCGGGTGTGGGTGACAGCGTCAGCTATATTTTCCAACTCTTGAAGTCTCCGCGTAGACGTTTGCGCAAGTAGCCTTGCATGCAAGCACAGAGGGCCTGCGTGACACACGTGCAATGCACTGCAGGCAGCCAATCACGAGTCCCGAGCCTGCACACTCTCCTCCTGATTGGTGGAGAGCCACAGAGCCACTCGTTTTCGGTAGACAGATTCTTACGGCAAGGCCGCAATGAATCATATCACTTACGATCTTCTCGCCCCAATATTAATGACTAATTCTGCTTCCCACAGTGCATTTAACGACCTTTTTAATGTCAGGGGTTATTTTGCACTTTAGAGTTTGTTGCATTCCCACACCGTTACGTGTTCGCTTTAAAGAAACAGAGCAACTTAGCACAGAATTTAACAAAATTATTCTAATTACAACAGTTTACGCTGTTTCTGTGGTATTTCACTGATCCACTGAATGCTTAATCGGTGTTTACCGAACTATTCTGCACTATTTAAATGTCATGTCCAACTTTTCCATGTAAGTGACTCATGGATCTTGTATGCTACTTATAATTCACCCTGGAATTGACTGGATTGTGTTTCTGGTAGCCCTGAAATTCATGTTTGTTACACTGAAAGACGCCTCTATTTGTTGACATTCCGTTTGTTTTTTAGTGTTGGAGGAAGTTTTAACATTTTTGTCTTTAGAATTACTAACTCTGGTATTGAGTAGCAATTAACTACAATCCTGCAGAAGTAAGTTGACATCTGACAGCTTTTACAAACCAACATTCGACCAAAACGCTTTAAACATCTTGATAGAGCAGTAAAATTGGTCCGTGCAAAGATTGGACGGGTTGTTGGTGGTGGTGGTGACAATAAATCCTGCTTATTTCTCCATATATTCATTGCAACGTTGTAGTGGATCTTTTCAAAGACCATGGCATAGCTGTCTGGCTCGCATTATGACAGTGATAATATGCATTTAGTGATGACCGTGTGGTCTGTAACCAAAGACCAAACTGATAAACGCCAAAAGAGGTTTCTATAAGCACTATTTGTTCAAATATTAAGTTCGAATCCCATTGTTTTACGTTCTAGCACTTGCCTATGCCATAAGTCGAGCGATCTGTGTGAACATGACTCCATTTATGATCGTAGGTAACCCAAACTTTGGTAAAAAAAAGTTACAGCCATATGACTCATCACAAGTTCCAATTGGGATGCAGCTATTGCACAAAAAAAACTTTAGTTGCTGCTTGTGCAATCCCAAGAGCCAGTCATACCTTATCTACTGACATTCGCGGGCACGTTTGCTTCTTTCGTGGACCAAATGAACCGTTACGTTAGTTAGAGCTATTAGTTATCAATTTGGAACCATCACAACACAATGTAATAGGTAACGTTGTGTACGCTCTCAGCCACAGCGATGTGATTGAACTAGATTTTAAAGTGTCATTTCCAGATTACACTTAAGTGTATCTAAGTTTTGCAAAAAAAAACTGCCTGATAATAACGTAATAGAAAATTCTTGTCTTCTTTTGGGGATTGTTTGTGTTAATTCCCATAACACATCCTTTTGGAATAATTTTCAATCATTCTTACTACACTTGGTCAAGCAATAGACGATAATATGGACATCGAATTACTGCATACGTGCATTTTCGTAAATTGACAAATTCATTAAAAAAACCAGTCGAATACGGAAACACTAGCATTACTGGTTTATTTAAACGTGAGAAATCGCAAAACTCATCCAGTTTCCGTTTTTTAAAAGCAAATATAATCTGACAAGTTCGGATCAGTTAATAGTACGATTAAAGATTTGCGGTAGTCTTCTTATTAGTGCACACGAAGCCTAATTGAAATAAACTCAAATATATACAGCGTTAAATTGAAACTGCGTTTAAACTACTACTTACAAGTCGATCAGGCGATTCCTCTAAAAATGAAATATTTAAGTTGTAGATTAGACCCTGCGAAATATTCGGTAAGTTTGGTCTTTCTATAAAGCGAGTGGGCAATTAAAATTGTTCTAGAAGAACTTTTAATCGTGGACCACCTGTGTTCGGTTCGCTCAGCATCACCAGGCATCAATATTCCAGATGAGCGATGACCGCTTTAATTGGAAAGCGCCAATCATTTTTCACAGTTCAGTGCCCAAAAGTAGAAAAAAAGTCATATTTTACCTTCAGTTCAGTAAAGTTAAACCACTGCTTACATGCGCACCAGTGTACATAGTAGTTAGTAAAAAATATGTATGAACTAGGAAACGTTTTAAAGAGATTAGTTTCTGAGAAACCAGCATTGAAAAGAGATCTCACAAAAATCCCTAATTACTTTTGCATTGAGCACCTTTTTTTCTTTTATCATGAAAGAGTCTGGGTGATTTCCTTTTGGGAATGTTGATCAAAAATGCCTAAGGTGCCTCACTAAATGCGCTATCACACAGCCGGCACCACGGGATATCGCAAATTAAGACCTACTTACGTTCTCATGTCAGGCATGCGTCTTTTACGTAGAAAAAGTAAATTCACATGTAAAAGAGGCACACAGATGTCAAAGGGGATTTTGTGGAAGCGCCAGCATAACATGTTGTCAGTTGGTAAATCCATCACACAACCGGATTTTTTGGTACCTCCTGGCATGAACATCCTTCAGCAGCTATCAGCCTACAGGCCCAATTGAAGGCACATTAAGGCCTTTTAACTGACTCGCTTGATCGTGCGCACCCTAACGTATTTTGATCCATCACTTCCAAACACACTTTGGAGTCCTCATCGTCATGCTTCACCTGTGTGCGAGTCTCACCAATTTATTCAATTACAGAAAAGCAGGAAAGCTCGGTTTGGCATGCACTCCGTAGTTACCACCATGGCTACTTGTCAAGAAATTTGATACTTCAAGCAAAAGCACAGACTGACGAAGTGAGCGCACTCAAGAGGACAGGAGGAATAATCAACTGCTGAAAGTTGAAGCACGCGTACAGATTGTAGACACTTGTAACAAAATCGACAACAGAAAAAGAAATGTCACCGATTTCAAAAGCAATTTGATTGGACCGTCAAAAGAGACAAGGTAGTCATTGTCATTCGCAGGTTTGAATGGTCGTACGTTTTGAAAACACTCAAATTGTTGCAGTCGATTCACCACAAAGAACATTATACCCACACGACCGCCGCGAAATGTCAGCCCAAATCGTAGCAACCCATTTGGTATTAAAAATGTCGAACTTGCGTCAACTTAGGGCTCACTTTGTTCTCCAGAAAACATCTAAGATTGTCGGCATTTCCAGCACGTACTCTAATTAAGCTATTTGTGATATGGAAAATGTAGTTTTTAACTTCTTACTAACCCTACACACAAACAGCTCACAGTTGCATAATTTACACTCTAATTCATTTGAAAATCTAATCGCTTCAGAGCTCAAACGGTTCTTTTCTGCTTCGTCCAAGGAGGTATTTAGTGGGTCAAAAATTCGAATTTTCTGAGATGGAGAAAAACACAGCACGACTGTTGCTTTTGCAAGAGCTTTCATATTTAGATCTAACGTAATCCGCTAGCGACAAATGTTGACGTGCAAGACATTTTTCGACCACAGACATAAGCAATTACAAAAGGTCTTATTGCCACATCAGGTTTGTCGACATAAATGCCACTTTTTTTTAATATTCCACCAAAAAAGGGAACTTAAACACCGGCATCCAGCACCTTGGTCATGAAATTTTGTCCAAAGACGTTGGACTGCTTTATTTGAACCAAAACTTAAGGTAAAGGGCCATGCGAAGGCAAGAAAACATGGTCGATTGGCTGATCAGCATCGCGCTACACCCAAACCACCTGAATGCATATTAATGAACCAGCTGCGCCCACCCTGCTGACCGTATCGAAGGAAGATGGCATTTCCCATCCTCTCGGTGTTACGTGATTAGCGCACAAGTCGATGAGATAAGCAGCACAACATTTCGGTTAAGCCTAGTCTTCAAGGTCAACGGAGGGTCATGTCCTTCTCCTAAACTGCCAATTAATGGTCAGCGGGAAAATGACATTACCGTTGGAAGGTCATTTGATGGAGCAAGTGACAAGTCTCCCACGAGTGCACACCTGACCCTCTTATACATCCAGAAAATTTAAAATCGATTTTAAAATGGGTTCTCCAGAGGAGGACTGCAAGTCAAATTTGCAGAAAACAGTTAAGTGACAGAATATTTAATGAATAAGTTCTACGAAATGGACTTGCTTTATTTGCTTTTACTTGGAAATCACTTATATGAAGCAAGTGGCTGAATTAGCGCTTACTTAAGGGCCTATAAATCGTTCTGAATTGCACACGAAAAAGCATTTACCGAGTTCAGGGGCTAGTGTTCACGAACTTCAAACCCACCTCTACTCAAGAGGTCATTTCAGACTTTTAGTCATGATGATTTTGAAAAATTCGACATTATAAAGTCATTTAACAAAATTTGACCTATCATCAGTCAATTACTGCATCACAAAGGTTTGGAGTAAGGTTCATTCCGGTTTTGTTAAATTAGTCGAAGTCTCAAAAGTCATTTACAATCTTTTGAAGGTGAGACGCCATCCATTGTTTGACTACCTTGTTTTTAAAAATCGGGTTTTCATCTCCGGACGTTAATACCCTCATGATGGAACAGGTAACTAAGGAAACTAGGAACACGGCAGATTCTCTTTCTGGGTCACACAACATCAGCCTGTTGCTGCAAGGTCGGAAATTTGAAGTGGTTTTGAATTAGAAAATACAGACCACTTTTTTATTTTTCAAGTTTTGTTTAAATGAATTCAACTGCTGACGAATGCTGCTGAGTTAGTCAGGTCCAACCGTAGACACATCAATTTCGTCAGTGTGCAAATGAGCTCTCTTCGTAATGTGCGGACGACACAGGAGCGTCCTATTGGTAAGGCTGCAGATGTTTTGCAGGAATCTAAATGCTG